AACCCCTCTCTTGACATCAACGATCACTTCTTTGTAGAATGGTGAGATCCTGGTAGTGAATCCGCAATACAGCTCACGGAGGATCTTGATGTATTGGGCTTGAATGCCCTGATTGGCTAGGGCTTCAATGACCGCTTCCATCTCAACAGAATCAAAGGCCTTCTTTAAATCAATGAATGTTAAACAGAGCGGCATCTTGAACTCCCGAGAAACCTCAGTGAGTTTGGTTATTGTGTGGATATGGTCGATGGTGCTGAATCCTTTGCGGAACCTGGCTTGCTCGCATGGTTGTCCTTCATCTAGTGTTCTGCCAATCCTATTTAGGATGACTCGAGTGAACAACTTGTAGATGACAGACAATAGGCAGATAGGACGATAGTTGCCAATGTCATGGATGTCTCCCTTCTTGAACAGTAGTATGGTCCTGCTGGTTTTCCATTGGGATGGAACCTTGCATTCAGACAGGTAGCGAGTGAAGAGCCGAGCCAGTGTATTGATGAGTACTGACGGCAGGTTCTTCAGGTGTTCAGGTCTGACCTTGTCTGGGCCTGGTGCTGTTCGTTTCTTTACCGACAAAATGGCATGTCGGATTTCGGAAGGGAGAACGTTGGGAACAACATATCCATCCTGTGGAATTTGGTATGTCGGCAAGTGGACATGGCTATCGAAGAGATTTGAGTAGAAGTAATGGATAATCTTTTCCATTGCCGTTCTGGAGGATGTGATGGATCCATCAGGACGTCGGAGGGCAGTCATCTTAGTCTTGTAGTTGGCGAAGGACAGGCGGGCGTAATGAATACTTTTCCCAGCTTCTGCCGCATCTACCAGTACTTCTGCTCTTCTCTCTTTGAGGTCTTCCTTGATCGCATCTCTGCACTGCTTTGGGAGCTCGGATGTTAACTTGCTGTTGCCTGAGGCATGCGCCAAACCACGCTGGCGAATTAGCTCACTGATCATAATCATAATCAACCATAACTCTGACGAAGAATCAAAATGTCTTTTTTTCTGGTTATTATTAATGCGTATTAATTTTAGTAAATTCATAAAAGCAAAACAATTACTATAAGGGTAATACCATAATTCATATACACTTATTTCCACATATATACGTTTACTTATTTTGCATGACATTTAATAACTTGCTTTTAAAAATTAATATATTGCAAATGTATCCATCTTTTAAACCATCTTTGTTACCATTTTCAATGGCAACAGTTTTTCAATTTATAGATGTAGAATTCTTTATTTAGCCGGTTGCCAATCATTCAACTTTTTACTCTTTCATTAAGGTGCTTTTAATGTTAGATGTGTTAGAGGGGGGATTGGAGGAATTTATTTTTTTGCTTTTTGGGTCACACCCAGCGATGCACAGGGGTTGCTCCTGGCTTTGCACTCAGGAATCACTCCTGGCGGTGCTCGGGGGACCATGTGGGATGCTGGGAATTGAACCTGGGTCGACGGGGTGCAAGGCAAACGCCCTACCCGCTGTGCTATTGTTCCAGCCCCTGGAGGAATTTATTAAAGATACCTAGAGAAGTTGAAGAAGTCAGTTTCTAGAGGTCATTTATATTAAATAAATTCGGGGTTTGAAATTATATGAAACATTTCCACAGTCATGAAAAAAGATTTTAAAAAAATAATTTTGTGTAACAACCAGCACTGCTCAGCACTTACTCCTGGGTTTCTGCTCAGAAATCACACATGGTGATGCTCAGGTTATCATATACAGTAGTGGGAATTGAGTCTGGGATGTTTGCAAGCAGGGCAAGCATCTTCCCCGTACTATATCTCTAGCCCACAAAAACCCATTAATTTTATAAAAATTAGAGTAGCAATTAATTAAAAATCTATGTGTTTTAGTGGTACAATTTTAGATCCATTCAAAATATATGTGCCTTAGCATACCTACCATTAAAGTAGCAACAACATCCCTTCACCATAATCCATGGCACCACCTTTCTCCTTCCTTTCTTCCCATTCTGGTAGCCTCATCCAATGATCATTCCTAGGGTTTTCTTTTAGTTGACTTTGTTCTCTTCATTTCCCTCTTTATATATCATGAGCAATGCTATCTACCATTTGTCTTTCTCTGACTTATTTCACTCAGCATGACTCCTTCTGTTTCCATCAATGTTATTTCAAAGGCAAACTTTTATCTTAAAGATGAGAGTAGTATTCCACTGTGTATGTGTATTCACTAAATTTTCTTTATCCACACAACATTTATTAGGCACTGGGATTCATATCTTGACTGTTATAAATAGTGCTACAACAATACTGGTGTCCAGATATCTTTTCAGATTTGTGTTTATCAGAAAGATACTTAGAAGTGAAATTGATGGATCATATAATAGATTTCACTGTAATGTATTTTGGAGGTTCCTCCCAAGCAGTGCTCAGGACACTAAAGGTTACTTCTGATGATACTTGACTGTATAGTTCAATGCTGAGACAACAAAGCAACAATACTGGGTTCATCAGCACACCTAGTGGTTCACAGGGGAGTCATGCAGTGGTCATGCAGGGGATCAAACTTGAGTCCCTGCACAGGTTAAGCTGCACCCTTGATCACTGAAATATCTCCTCATCCCGTGTTTTTGATATTTTGAGAATTCTCCAAAAGATTTCCATACAGGACATGTTAGTTCATATTTCTACTAGCAGAACATAGGAATTCCTTTATATCCACACTGCTCCAACACTTGTTGGCACTTGCAGTAGTGAATTATTCATCAGGATAAGATGATTGTTCATTGTTATGTTTATTTGTCTTTCCCTGATAATAAATGATCATGAGGATTTTTTACGTGCCCATTCACTATTTTTATGTCTTTGCTGGTGAAGTATCTGTTCAGGTATTCTCCCCATTTTTTGTTTATTTGGGGGTCACAGCCTGCAATGCTCAAGGATTATTCTTCCTAGCTCTCCACTCAGGGATCACTCCTGGCAGGCTAGGGAAATGTGAGGAGCTGGGGACCGAACTCAGGTCAGCCACATACATGTTAAGTGCTTTTCTCATTGTTTCTCAGGCCCTATTCTCCAAATATTTCTTGATGAATTTTTTTATTATTGTTGAGTTTTGTGAGGTTTTATTTTTGCATATATGTTAGATACTAATTAGTTCTTTGTTATGTGATATGTGAATATTTTCTTTCATTTGGTAGAATGCCTTTTTGTCTTAATGATAGTTTTGTTTACTGTGTAGAGGTTTTTGTTTGATTAAATCTGATTCTTTATATTTGCTTTTGTTTCCCTTGCCAGTGGAGTTGAATTCCTAATACATCACTGAAGTCAGTATTGTATGATATATTGCCTATGTTTTCTTTGTATTTTATGATTCCAAGTCTAGCACCAAAGTCTTTTATCTATTTTGATTTAACTTTAGTGCATGGTTTGAGATAATGATTCAATTTTATGCTTTCACATAAAATTATCCAGCTTTCCCAACACTAGTCAAGGTACTTTCTTTTATTTTATGCTCTTGGCCCCTTTATCATAAACCAACTGTGCATATGTCCATATGGATTTAATTCTGGATTCTCACATCTCACATCTATTACACTTATCTGTCTATTTTGATTCCAATAACATGCTGTTGTTATTACCATTGCTTTATATAATATATTTTGAAATCATAGAGCCTGATACTTCCATTTATCTCAGGATGACTTTGGCTATTCAGTATCTTTTGTGGTTCCTTATGAATTTAGTAATGCTTGTTCTATTACTTCAAAGAATGTCATTGGAATTTTGTTGAAGATTGCGGTTAGTCTATAAAATTCTTGGTGTAAGATGGTCATGTTAATAATGTTAATTGTTATAATCCATATACATATCTATCCTCTTATGTCCTCTAGTTCTTTTTTTTAAGTGATATAATTTTCTTCCTAGAAGTAAAACCAGGAGGGAAATTATGAAAATTCATAATACTGAATTTACAGTAATTTCTGGGTTTGATCCTCAGCACCACATGGTTCCCTGAGCACCAGCAGGAGAGCAACCACTGAGCAATATGCCAGTAGTAACCTCTGAGAACCTCTCTGTGCCCTGCTCCCCCACAAGGGGCACACGTATTTATTTAGTTTTAGTATTCTGGGATAGCTTTCACTAAATTATCCTTATGGACTTGGAAGTCTTTGATACTCAGCATGGTTTTAAATGATTTGCCTTCTTTCACCAAAGGTAGATAAAAATTGTCAGGTTATGGATATAGTTCAAAGGGTTGGAGTGGAGCTTTACATGCTGTAATCTGAAATTTGGTCCTAGCATCTCAATATCCCCCCACACCACTGGGAGCAAGAGACACCTGAGCACAACACCACAGAAGCCCCTGAGAACAGCCAGTTGTGCTCTTTCCCTGAAAAATACATTAATAGATAGTAACTTTTAAACATAATTTTCAAGTAAATAAAAATGGTATCTTTTTTTTTTTTTTTGGCATCACACCCAGCGATGCACAGGGGTTACTCCTGGCTCTGCATTCAGGAATCACTCCTGGAGGTGCTCAGGGAACCATATGGGATGCTGGGGATCGAACCCGGGTTGGCTACGTGCAAGGCAAATACCCTACCCCCTGTACTCCAGCCCCCCACAATGATATCTATTATTACTTGAATAATACAAAATACAATGTGTCTGTGTAAAGAGTCAATACAAAAGTTCAAAATATAGTGTTTAAGGTTTTTTTGTTGTTTGTTTGTTTGTTTTGCTTTCTAGCTTGTTAATAGCTCCCTGGTTCAGCTATTTCTTGGGTACTTAATTTTTCCTGCTGCAATCATAAATAGCATTATTTGGAATTTTTTTCTCCACTAGTTTGTTGTTGCATACAGAAATACAGTGAATTTTTGATGTTGTATCTTGCCAGTTTCTATGTTTCTCTATTGTCTCTGATAGTTCTAGCGTAATCTTTCAAAGAATTTTTCACATATAATATCACATCGTCTGGAAGTAGTGATCATTTTCTTTAAATGATTATTGTATGTTGTTTGCTTTCTTAACAGGAACAAGTCTATTTTGTTTTACTTTAACCTCTTCAGCTGTTCCCATCCCGCAGTGCTGATAAACCTGCAGTGCCCTACTACACAGGTAAGCACAGGATACCGTGAAGATGGTGCTAGTAATTTTGGATGAAAGAATTAAGAAATTAATTAAAAATTAAGAAAAAACATTTGAGTTTTTTTCTCTCTCTAATGATTGATTTATGAAGGATGAGAAAATGTAAATATTATCTCATTTTTTTATAGGCAGTCAAAACTAGGTTAGGCTAGAGTTAATCATTTTAGAATCACTAAGCACCCTTGGTGATTATCTTGTACAACCGCTCATTTCTACTTATTATTGTTATAGTTATTATTTAGTTATTATTGTTGTTATTTTTATTATTAACTATATATTATCATATAGTAGTAGTATTACAATTATTAATTTGGATTTCCCAAGAAGTGCTCAGGAGGCCTGGAGGACCCTCCTGGAAATTTCTGGGCAACTGGGCCAGAGTTTCTATGTAAAGAACTGAAGAGGTGCTGCCTCTTGGTCCCTATGCTGTTGGGGACGACTCAGTTTACACAGGGGTACTCTGGGACATCCAGGGATGTGACCTAGCAATGCTCTGGGGGAATCTTGTGGTGCCAGGGATCAAATTAGTAACAGCCACATGCAAAGCATATCAATTAATGACTCTAATAGTTCTACAGCCCTTAATTGTTTATTTTTTATAAATGAATAAACTATATTCCAAGAGAAGTGGAGATATTTTTTTCACAGTCAATATTGGGAAGAACAAAGCTAACCACTGTAATCAATAAACCCCAGTTACTTGGTGACTATACAATGAAACTTGTTAGGGGCACATATCACAGTGTAAGGTGGCACTTGTGGTCAGTGAGTGACTCTCTTCCAGGCTTGTTTGATCAGGAGGTTCCACTCTTAAATTCTCCTCATGTACATCCAATAGCCAGAAGAAAACAGACAGCATAAGTGAAGCACTTCTGCTCTTTAAAACTTTACATAAACACATTGAATTTTTATTCATATGGCAAGATATATTCCTTTTAAACATGTTCACACCTAGAAGCAGAAGGAAAGACGCAAACACTTCAGTGAACTCTGTTGTCCTCTGGTGTCTGGACCACCCATTCCCAGGGGAAACTGTTCAGAGTTCTATAGAGCATGCTCATTAATCCAGCATCCAGGGGCTATGAGTGATGCATAGCCCTTCCATCAGTTTTCGCCATTGGACATGCAATGGGGAATGAGGCTAGGTAAATGAAAATGCAATCTTCCATTGGAGGAGTTGTTTTTGGTATTGAGCACTGAGGTCATTTATTTGTCCTTGACAGTGTTCTCTGTAAGGAACTTCCTCACCCATTACATTCTGTTGTCCTTTGCTCATCCACCTGGCAGATTGTCTTCTCTCTGATAGTCTTTAGGCCACACTGATGCCAAACAAAGAAAAAAGTATGCCTTTGAGGGATCCTGAAGCCTTAAGGTTTTCTTCCTTTTGTGCTAATTTACTACTTCAAAAATTATTTTAACAGTTAAATGCATTTTCAGGTGAGCTCATTAATTCTTTTTCTCCCATCTCTGTTAATGCCTCTCCATTTGTATACAAACATTGTGTTATTTCTTCCATCTTAAAATATTCTCTCCTTGATCGCACATCCCATCTTACTATTGCTCCTTATCTCAGTACTTTTTATACTAAAAGAGTAGTCTCACTCTATTGACTTTCTCTCTCTCTCTCTCTCTCTCGCTATATATATATATACATATATATATATTTTATTTTTTTTTATTGGGCTGGAGCGATAGCACAGTGGTAGGGCGTTTGCCTTGCATGCAGCCAACATGACTGACCCGAGTTCGATTCCTCCGCCCCTCTTGGAGAGCCCAGCAAGCTACCAAGAGTATCTTGCCTGCACGGCAGAGCCTGGGAAGCTACCTGTGATGTATTCGATATGCCAAACACAGTAACAACAAAAGTCTCCAACGTAGATGTTACTGGGCCTGCTTGAGCAAATCGATGAACAATGGGAGGACAGTGATATCTTTTTATTACCATTAAGGATTAATCCTGTTCCAGTTTCTTCCAAATGATAGCCTTGACCTCCATTTATTAAGCCAATAGTCCTCAATTCAAATTTACTTGATCTAAAACATTGCTTAATCAATGTCTCCTTAAAATACTTTCCCTTCTTGGCTTTCTTGGGCAGACATTATTTATTTTTATTATCATCAGGATTTTACATATTTATTTATTTGTTTTTTAATGAATCATCTTGAGATACAGACTTACAAACTTTTGTCATTACATTTCAGTCATACAATGATCGAGTACCCACCCGTCCACTAGTGCCCATTCTCCACCACCAATGTTCCCAGTATCTCTCCCACCATCCTACCCCTTCCAACCACCCTACCTCTGTGGCAGGCACATTCCTTCACTCTCTCTCTTTCTCTCTCTCTCTCTCTCTCTCTCTCTCTCTCTCTCTCTCTCTCTCTCTCTCTCTCCTTTTGAGTGTTATGGTTTGCAATACAGGTACTAAGCGGCCATCATGTTTGGTCTATAGTCTACTTTCGGCATGCATCTCCCATCCCAGGCAAGCCCTCCAACTATCATTTACTTAGTGGTCCCTTCTCTAACCCAGCTGCCTTTTTCCCCAGCACGTGAGACTGGCTTCCAAGCCATGGAAATATCCTCCTGTCCCCTATATCTACTAAGGATATCTACTATCTGAGGATATCTACTGTCCATAGGTGTTTGCTTCCTATTATGTTACTTTATATTCCACAAATGAGTTTTAAAGGTATCTCCAAAGATGAAACGCCACTGACCACGCAAGTGGAAACGGAGATAAACAAATGAGACTATCTTAAACTAAGAAGCTTCTGCACCTCAAATGAAACCTCAATTCAGAATACAAAAACAGTCACAAAGGGTATTCACACAATCCCCTTCTGATAAGGGGTTAATATCAAGGATATACAAGACACTAGTTGAACTCTATCAGAAGCAAATATCCAATCCCATCAGAAAATGGGGTGATGAAATGAACAGAAACTGTCTCAAAGAAGAAATCCAAATGGCTAAAAGGCACATGAAAAAATGCTCTTCATCACTAATAATCAAGGAGATGCAGATCAAAGCAACAATAAGATAACATCTCACACCAGAGAGAATGGTACATATTCAAAAAAACAAAAGTGTGGAAGTGAGGTGTTGGTGTGGATGTGAGGAGAAAGAGACTCTCCTTCTCTGGTGGTGGGAATGCCCGACTGGTCCAACCTTTTTAGAAAGCAATATGGACATTTCTCAAAAAACTAGAAATTGAGCTTTCATTTGACCCAGCAATACCGCTTCTAGGACTGTATCCTGAAGATGCAAAAAAGTACAGTAGAAATGACATTTGCAGCACTATTTACAGTAGCCAGAATCCAGAAAATACCCGAGTGCCTGAGAACAGATGACCAGTTAAAGAAACTTTGGTACATCTACACAATGGATGCAGCAATCTATGCAGCTGTTAGAAAAGATGAAATCATGAAATTTGCATATAAGTGGATGGACATGGAGAGTATCATGCTAAGTGAAATGAGTCAGAAAGAGAGAGAGAGACATAGAATGACTTGCAGACATTCTTTTTTATATATTTTTTCCGTATAAGTAGTTCCTTGATACTCCCTATTGGAGTGTTTTGATCATATTTCCAGCATCTCCTAAACTACTGTGTTTCCTCTGGCACAAAGTTTAGACCTCTGAAATTGCATTTACTCCTTTAGTAATTTTGCCTAGTCCTGTGCATTTAACACTATTTATATGTTACCCTTCTTGATTTATATCCATAAATAAGAGTGTTCCTTAAACAGTAGATCTTTGCATCCAACCATCTGTGCAATTTCTCTGCATGGTTAGTTAGTTGGCATCTCAAATTTAGTATCTCCAGAACTCAATTTCTAATCTTAAACTTCATTCCAAAAGGTATTCCCCACCCAACATTTTCTCTTATTTTAATTAATACCAGCTACAGGTGCCAATGAATCACTTTGTTATTTCTGTCTCTCAAATTTGTGTCAACTGTCACAAGTGTCAACTGTCATTAATTCCTCTGATCTTTATTCATAATATATTTTAGATCAAATGAATGGTCACCATTTCTTTCAAAGAACTGTTATCTGATTTTCTCTTAAGGCTCAATGATCTTTCTGTCTTTATCTTGTCCTCCCACCTACCTCTGACTATTAGTATTTTTTCCTTAACCTGTGAAATATGTCATATTATGTCTCTTATGTCTCTCCTTTACTTAGTCGCCACCTGGCTCCTGATGGCTCCCCTCCTCAGCTCCCCTAGCTGCTCAGATTAAAGCCAAAGTCATAACAATAACCTATAAGATCCTTCACTGTTTGCCCAATCCTTGGGCCACATGTCTGTCCACTTGGGTGATGTTTTCCATTGAAAAGATCCAGAAAAACTCTAGGACTGGGGAGATAGCACAGCAGTTAAAACACTAGTTTTCCATGTGCCTTACCCTGATTCCATCCCCAGCACCACAGAAGGTCCCCCTGAGAACCACCAGGAATAATTATTAAACACAGACCCAGGAGTAAACTCTGAATAGTGTTGGGTATGGCACCCCAAAAACAAAGAAACAAAACCAGAATAGCTGCTGCTTCAGGGTCTTACTCTTCAAACATCCATGGTTTGAGCACTTGTATTCTTTAAGACTTTTTTTCAAATGTTACCTTTTCAGAAAGTCTTTTCCTAACTACCTGTTTAAAATTAGAATCCATTTATCCACTTTTCATCCTTTATCCCCCTTTCTAGCCTTGTTTTACTTCATCATACTTATTACTAATATATGACAAGCAACTTATTTACCTGTTATTATCCATTTCTTTCTGCTAGAAGGCAAACTGCTTGAAGGCAAGGATTTTAATTTGTTCAATATAGTGTTACCAGTACTTAGGACTGGCTCCAAAAGGTAATAAATAAATATTTGTGGAACAAGTGAATGAATTATCTTCCTACTCCTTAGTCTAAAACATTTTTCATTATCCTATATAAACTAATTATTCCATGATATAACAGTCAACATGCTATTTCTTATGTTTTGGAAAACCTTTACTAGGACCATTTTTTATTCATAGTTAATGTAGTTTTTGTTTCAGTTGGGAGGAGGGTTATCAAGGGGAGCCCAGAGACTTCAATTCTCAGCCCCTGGGACTGAGAGTTGAATAAGACGAAACACCAGGACCACCTTGAGGGTCACAAGAAGTCACCAGGCTATATCCAGTGATGACTGGAGCTTCCTGGCCTCCACCCAGCAATGCTCAGGGAAACTTGTGGTGTCAGAAATAGAACTCTTGTACTATTTCCTCAGCCCAGATAATTTAGTGTTTTTGACCTTCAGTGCACCTCTCTTTTCTACTCACCAAACCCTAATTAGTACTACAGAGCTAAGTCTCTATAAATTGAAAATGTCAAAACAATGGTGAACTATATTCAGAGTACCCCTTTAGCTAATTCAGAATTTATTTTAGCGGCTAGTAAGGCAGAGTTACTTTGAGTCTGCCAGGCTAAAGAGTGCACCTGCTGATGTAAAGCTGTGCTTTTACGCATTATGTTTTGTTAACTGTCTGCATGAGCCACACTTGCATAATAAGCACTTAAAGGACAGATTGTGATCAGTTAGGATATCCAACCTCAATGTGACCTTTATTTCTGGATAATTATATGTTGATTGCTACTAATCAGCACCCTATTTTCGGTGAATAAATTGGTCTAATAGAGAGAGAGAATAGTACAGTTGCTATATTGTTTTTTAATGACTCATTTGTATCGAATAAAATTTGATGTGATTCTTTTTGACAAATTATTTTTTGCCATTTTAATTACTTTCCTATATAAGTTGTATATATACACACTTATATGTGTGATAGACCATAGTGTGTGTTTATATTTATAAATACAGAAATCATCATAGTACTCAGTAGTTTATGCCATCATTTAGGGCATTTGAAGTTATAATAATCCACATATATAAGTTTATTTAAAGTTAGTCAGTGGAAGAATTCAGTTATTTTTTAAAATCATGTAAATAGTCTAAATAACTTATCTCCCAGAATTTACCCACAGCTTTTTAGAATGTCTGTGAAATATTTCCTGTAGATGAATATGAGTGTTGGGGGGGCAGGGACTAGGGACGGGAGGTGCAGAGTGATTGTGCAGTGGTTACGGCACTTAACCTTCCACACAGCCAACCCGGGTTGGATCCCTAACAACCGTATGACACCCCCCCCCCCAAGCCTGTCAGTAGTGATACCTGAACACAAAAACCAGTAATAAGCCCTGAGCACAGCTGTATATGACCAGAAAGCAACAAAAAAATACCTTAAGAGTACATGTGATTATGTATATGTGTTTATATATATGTGCACATGTGTGTACCAGAGACAATGAAAGAGAAAATTCAGAGGTCTATATGGAGATGGGCTGTTTACCTTGTCAAAATTTCTGGAAGTTAAACTGTTCCCACTACAAAGAGATTTAAACTGTGAGATTTGAGATGCCCTTTTAGTTATGCAGCTACTTTGCTGTGACCAAAGGCAAATGTCCTCATGTAACAGGAACATGATCCAGAGGATAGGAAAGCAAAATAATCTCAGCAGCAGTTTTGCTGAACAGTCAGTGGGGTTGAGCTAGTCTTGTCGGTGAAAACGTTTGCCAAAGTACAGAAAGGAAAGGAAGTCTGAACTGAGAATATTTTCACGAAGTAAAACTGAAAGGATGGTGGGGCAGGGGTGGGGGTGGGGTAGTATGAGGATGGATTCAACTAGATTGGCTAGATGTCATATTCATTTTTTATTATAAAAAAGGTAAAAGGTAAAGGCCCTCCCGTTGATCGTCGATTTGCTCGAGCGGGCCCAGTAACGTCTCCATTGGAGACTTTGTTGTTACTGTGTCTGGCATATCGAATACTCTCGGTAGCTTGCCGGGCTCTCCGAGAGGGGCGGAGGAATCGAACTCGGGTCGGCCATGTTGGCTGCGTGCAAGGCAGACGCCCTACCCGAAATAAAAGTGAAACCACTAGAGTTCATTTTCCCCGATTCAGCTTTCTCTCTGTAGATTCAAAGCTAGGTTCATCTTACTGGATTTCCATCATTTCTTGGTAACTCTGTGGGCAAACACAGTGCTCTGGTTTAGCACTGAGAGACTCCCAAGGTCACTCATGTCAAGTAATTGAAATGGTAATCTCTCTGCACACAATTTATTAGTGTTAGTAAAAGACTTCAATAATAATTGGATTTTTTTGCAGTAACTCTAATTTTATTTCTAATGATAATAAAAACCCAATTATGTACTGAGAATTGTTGAAAATTCATGATACCAGTAGTTTGCAGGCAAAAGTCGATGTTTGAAGTAATTTAATCTCCATTTTACTCATATAGTGAAGGAAGAAATATTAACTCGGTAAATGTATAAAACACATAGAAAAACTCTAATTATACTCTTATCTGCCAACTCAGAAAGGTATAAGAAATTATTTTATTGGGTTCTGAGAGATAATACAGCAGTTAAGCTATTTGCCTTGCATGCGCCTGACCACAAGTTCAAGTTCTCTGCACCTCATATCTGGAGGGAGAGTCAGAAGTAAGCCCTGAACACTACTGGGTGTGGCCCCAAGCAAAACTAAAACCAAGAAATTATTTTATTTAAAGTCTACCATTGTCCCCTGGTAATAGCACATAAATTCATATATATGGCAAATTTCATAGGATAGTATGTGCATACATGCACAAGCATTCACATGAGTACATATAAAATTGAAAACATGATAAAATAGTGAGTTATAACAATATCAGCTTCATAGTTGAAATATTATACTATACTTATTATCATTGGGCAAAACTGTTTCAGTACATTTGGAATATTTTACTTCTCCCAGCTACATGTAAATTTACTGTTATCTCAAAATCAGAAGTAAAAAATTAACTCTGTCATTGTCATTGTGCAGTATCTTCTGGCTTTAGCAGAGATAAATCATCAAAGAGAAAGGTGTAGATTTGACAACTAGGCATAAAGCTTTGTTTCTACACTAAGATCAGAACATTGATTCCGTTTTTCTTAGATAAAAAATAGTGCTTTATGAGCTGGAACATGGTCTAGCAGGTAATGTGTCTGACCCAGGTTTGATCTCTAGCATTTCATATGTTCCCCTAAGCACCACAAGGAATAATTCCTGAGTGCAGAGCAATGCATAACACTGAGCATCTCCAGGTGTGGCCCCCTCAAAAGCCAAAAAGATAAAAGTTGCTCGCTGAAGCTGAAGTGATAGCACAGCAAGTGGGACATTTACCTTGCACACAGCCAACTGGTGTTCAATACCTGACATCAGTATGGTCCCTGAGCCTTCCAGGAGTGATTCCTGACTATAGAGTCAAGAGTACCCCTTAACATCATTGGGTGTGGCCCCAAAACAAAGCAAAATGGTTCTTGCTCTTTATTGTGGTGAATAATTTAGAAATCAAACCTTATAGGTGTTTTCTTTGTTTGCATCAGTTCCTACCATTGTTTTTCCTTGTCTTTAAAGATCTGTGTCTCCAAATGCCCCGATAAGTTTTTTACATACACAGAAATACAATATAAATATCCGAAAGACAAAGAACATTGGACATATTACAAACAGTTCTGCAAATCTAATATGTCTGAACCTTCAAAGGTAGGAGTGTTTTGTTTGGGTATTTTTGTCTGTTTCTTTTGTCTAGAGCTGGGAACTAATTTGCATTTGCCATTTCATTAATGTGGCAAGGAAGCTATAACACTATTTAGTAATGAGCAGAATTTTACCTCTGGAACCAGTCTGATAATTACTCATAAATCTGGTTTAAAATTTATAAGGAAATTCTTAAACGTTATGTTAAATAGTTAAGAAACTTGTAAATCAGAGAAGAGGCTGGCTTGTTAAGGGGGGGAAAAATCAAAAGTCATACTTAGACTGTGACTTAGACAAAGATTCATAATTTCAAAGATTATTAGCTTCAGCACATCCCATTGTTGATGGAACTGACTTTACATTGGAAACAAGGGAATTTCTTAAACAAATACGTATTTATGATAATTTTATTATTATTATGGGACTTATTTTAAATAAAAATATTACTGTGAATTTTAAGTTTTGAAGCATAAAAAGTTTATGCTGAAAGTGAGCAGCTTATCATCACTTAACCTTTGATGCATAAATAACATATTTTTCCCATTTTAGACCCTCTCACAAATATTAGTGGATGATGATTGCCCAACAGCAATTTTTCCAAGTAGACCTTGTAAGTATTTATTATTTTCGCTTTAGAACTCAGAGTCTATCAAGAAGTTATTTAATTTAGTCACTTTATTTTGCAGTTGATGATAGTTTCTGAACTGGTCCAAAGCCCCACTATCAATTAGGAGGGATGCTAAAGCCATTCTCCTGACTCCTTTTCATGGGAGCTCTCTGAATTTTTGGCATTTGTTTCATAAAAATGCACACAAAGACCGAAAGTAAATTTTCAAAATTTACTTAGAAAACCCATACAATCCATTTAGATAGATTATTTGGGGGGTTGATGGGTATACAAGCATGTTTAAATACTCAACCTTGAATTTAGCCAAAAAGTGTTTATAAATTGCTTGTTAGACAGTGAAGTGGGGTCACATTTCATTATAAGTTGAAATTTGTTGTATTTATATGCCTCCTGATGAAGCAATATGTTATTTCTTTATAGTATATTTGTTGTTTAAGAGAATTACCTAAAGAATCCATGGTAGTTATTCAAAAAGAATAAAAAAAAAGAGAAAACACTGTATGTTCAAAAGCAAGCAAATAATAAAATAAATTTTGATGTATTTATTAAATATATTATTTAATATAAATATTGTATATTTTGTATTCTGTTAATTAAAATTAAAATGTCATCTAAAGTAAAAAAGAGTAAAGTAAAGGCCCTCCCGTTGATCATCGATTTGCTCGAGCGGGCCCAGTAACGTCTCCATTGGAGACTTTGTTGTTACTGTGTCTGGCATATCGAATACTCTCGGTAGCTTGCCGGGCTCTCTGAGAGGGGCGGAGGAATCGAACTCGGGTCGGCCATGTTGGCTGCGTGCAAGGCAAACGCCCTACCCGCTGTGCTATCGCTCCAGCCAAAATGTCATCTAAGTATATATAAATTGAATAGATATAAAAAGCATTCAAAGACAAATATTGAAAAGAAATATGCTAGAATATTAGGTGTCAGTTTTGAAGGTGGTACACCTATGAGCATTTTCTATGTTCTCTCTTTTTTCATTTTCATTTCTATATTTATGCTATGAATATATATTTCTTGTAAAATGGAAGAAAGGCAGTAGTCATCCATTTGGATAGAAATTCAAGTGGCTCCAAAGTAGCTACCACCAAGCAACAGATTGTTTTGCTTGCTCCAATCTCTCTTGTCTGGATCATTATAAAGGCTTTTCAACAAAGATATAGTTTCTTTAAAGCATTTGATCAAAAAGTCCTGAGTAACAAGTGTCTATAAACAACAGAAAAGTTACAAATTTTTAAGCAAAATACTTTTAAATGAATCATTTATAGTCACTGAAGATGAAATAGGCATAAAAGTGCAAGAAACAGTCCCTGTTCCTTCAAGTACAGTTAGTTAAGTTGCACAGTATACAGTGTGCACTTAGAAAATAAAACAGCACAATAGAAAGAAAACTAAATCACTACTAAAAGTAATAGGAAAATAGAAGTAATATCTCCCTCCCAATGAGGGAGTTGGAGAGATAGTACAGTAGGTAAAATAATAGCCTTGCCTGTGGCTGACCTGGGTTCAATCCCTGGCACCCCATAAGGTCCACTAAGGGATTACTCAAGTTCACCAGGAGTGATGCTTTATTGCGGAGCCAGGAGTAAGCCTGGAACACTGCTGGTTGTGGCCCAAAAAACAAAACAAGAAAACATAAGAAAATACATAAGGAAATAAATACTAGAAGATTTAATATTATCAAAATGAACATACTTCCCAAAACACTATATAAATTCAATACACCACCTATAATAATACCCAATGACATTTAACAACCAAATATTGTTAAATTTTATGTAGAGTTGTAAACCCCCTGAGTAACCAAAACAAACTTAAACTAAAAGAAGATGAGAAGCTTTACTTTTCCTAACTTTAAGTTATACTGTAATGTGTTAATAATCAAAACAGTGGGGCACTAGAATCAAGACAAACTCTTGGACCAATATAATGGAATTGGGAGCCCAAAGACATATGCTCAGATAAATGATTTTGGACAAAAGAGCTAGGAATTTGAAGTCTCTTCAGCAAATGGTACTAGGAAAACTGGTCAGGCACATATGAAAAAGTGATTTCATATACCTCATCATACCATTAACACAAAACTCATTTCAAAATGGATTCTAGACCTTTAGAACAGACCTCAATCTCTAAGTTATGCTGAGGAAAAATATATGCAGACCCTTCGTGGCATTGAATTTAGATGTGTCTTCAATGATTCAATGTTATTGGCCAAGTAAAAAGAAGCAGAAATTTTTAAAAAATGTATGACTGCATGAAATTAAGAGGATTCTGGTCCATAAAAGAAATAGAACAGGAATGAGAAGACACCCCACAGACTTGGAGAAAATATTTGCCCAGACTGAGAGGGGTCCTTTGGATATTGGTAGAGAGAAGTGAGCACTCTGGTAGTGGGTGTGGTATTGGAACAATATATGCATGAAACTATAGTTAACTGTATTGAAATCATAATACTCAATATAAGCAGAAAAATAAAAATAAATGAGTTTTTTATTAATAATTAAGTTCTAGTTTTCCTTTCCATTTCATTTTAAATTGGGCTTTAGTGTATCACTAGTCATATAGATTAATAAAGTGGCAAGCACATAGAAGCATTTAGAAGCACATAGCAGACTAGAAAGTGAATCAACTTTAGAAACTATGTCAACATAGTCTAGACCATTTTTTAATGCATTAAGATTTCTATTTACACTCTCTGGAAAAAATAACATAAATGAAAAACCTAAAAATGAGATTCTCAAGTACCAAATGAACGAAGAGTTTACTTAGTAGCATAAAATTTTTTATTTTCTAAGGAATTATTTATTAACCCCCAGTTTTCAAAGTTTTATTCTGGGAATAAATAAGATGTTTATTGTATTGAGGTTGGGGGTAGTTGAGCCACATCCAACTCTGCTCAATACTTACTCCTGGCTCTGTGCTCAAGGTTCATTCCTGTCAGGGTTCAGGGGGCTATATGTGATGCTAAGAATCTAATCAGGTTGGCTCCATGCAAGTCAAGTGCTTTATCTGTTATACTATCCAGTCCAGATAAGATGCTCAAAAATAAAAAATCCAGACCCAGAGAAAGAGTTGAATGAATATATAGTTTAGCAGGAGTAATCCCTGAGCACCAAGTCAGAATTACCCCTGAGCATGACTGGTTATGGCCCCCCCAAAAAAATAAAACAAAAATCTAAGATAATCCTATCCTGAAAATAAATGTAGCACTGTCCTCCCATTGTTCACTGATTTGCTCTAGTGGGCCCAGTGACGGCTCCATTATGAGACTTGTTGTTACTAAGTTTGGCATATCAAATACATTACAGGGAGATTGCCAGGCTTTGCTGTGCAGGTGAGATACTCTCGGTAGCTTGCCGGACTCTCTGAGAGGGGTGGAGGAATAGAACTTGGGTTGGCAGTGTCGGTCGCATGCAAGGCAAATTCCCTACCGCTGTGCTATTGCTCCAGCCCCAGCCTATTCATTAAAATACGTTTACACTGGAAGTTACATCATCATTATTCTTTTAATTCATGGTATGCTTCTTTAAGCTACTTGATGAATATATCATGTATAAAATGACACATGATTTTAAAAAAATAGATTATATTTTAGGTTGTATGGTAATTTGATTTCTTTGTCAGCCTAGAACCTTCAGAAAATGTTCTAGATGTAAAGTAATAAGAAATGAGTTACCCATATTGAGCAGTTTATATATGGGCCGGCAAAATCTTGATGATAAGTAACAAGAAAGTTAAGAGAGGGAGAAAATATGTAGAAATACATAGAAAAGTGATTATTGTAATTTTCATTTATTTTTACAGTTCTCCAGAGATGTTTCCCTGATTTCTCTAGTGAAAATGGCACTGTAGCAGTAGGAAATAGGACTAAGTTTCAAGATGGAAATGGAACTTCAAGGAATGCTTTAGAACTGAGGACAGCTTCGAAGTATGTTTGTTTATATTTCCATTTTCAGCTTTGATGCATCCCAATTATTGTAACCAAGTGTAAATAATCTGTTACATTAGCAGTTCAAGAGGAAGATTACTTATTAGGAAATAAACATATCACTGAGTTCGAGAAATTGGTATATGTTCACTAAGAAAAGTGTCTAAAGAGAAAAAACTAGAGTAAATCAGAACAATAATGTTTTTCAAAATGATTGAACCATTCATTATCAACATACATGTAGGATACATAAGAAAATATATTAGTATAACTTAAATCAACATAATAAGAGTGTTTTTGAAAGTTCTATACAAAAATTAAAATAATCAAACTACCAGCATGATTTTAAAAGGAAGATGAGCTAGCCACAATGACTTCAATACTGGAACAAATTTATACCTGCCAACACAATAAAGCAAATGCTTTGTCCCGTGACTATACACATTGGTCATGGTCAGTTTTAGTGGGTGTAAACAAACACAACTAAACATAAACACAATTTTATTGCACTATTCAGTTGTTGAATTAAACATTTAACATGGGAACTAGATATAGTAGGGTCATGGAATTTGCTTTGCTTGCTTCTGACTCAGGTTACGTCACCAGCACCTCATATGGCCCCCTGAGTCCCACTAGGAATGATCTCTGGGTGCAGAGCCACTTGTAAACCCTGAACATACCTGGGTATGCCTGCTCCCAATATATAACTTCCTCTTTCTTGAAAGGCCATAAAATGTCCCAATACAATAATACAGCTCTCTGTGATGAGAATTTAATAACAGATTAATTTCACACATATAAAATTTTATATGAAATTAATCACAAATAATGATACAATTTTATTATTAAAAAGTTAAAAACCAGCATAACCAAATTGCCTTTTGTTGCATCTGTAAGTGATAAAAAAAAAAGAGGAGCCATGAGAGCAGGCAACTGGTTAAATAAACTATGATAGATCTTATTCGTCGATTGCCTCGAGCAGGCCCCAGTAACGTCTCTTTCATCCTAGCCCTGAGATTATATTCAAGGCTCTTTAGGAGAATGAGACCTATCATTGTTACTGGTATTTGGCATATTTGGTACGCCACGGGGAGTAGATGATAGATCTACACAATGGAAAACTTTGCAGCTGTTAGGAAAGATGAAATCATTGTATTTTCTTATAAGTAGATGAACATGGAGACTATTATGCTAAGTGAAATAAGTCAGAAAGAGAGGGACAGACATTGAATGCCTGCACTCATTTGTGGAATATAAAGTAGCATAATATGAGACTGACACCCAAGGATAGTAGATACAAGGGCCAGGAGGATCACTCCACAGTTTGGAAGTCTGCCTCATGTGCTTGGGGAGAAGGCAGTTGGAATAGAGAAGGGACCACTAAGTCAATGACAGTTGTAGGGATCACTCGGGATGGGAGATATGTGCTGAAAGCAGATAATGAACCAAACATGATGGCCTCTCAGTATCTGTATAGCAAACCATGATGCCCAAAAGTAGAGAGAGAGTAAGATGGAAGGTGCTGCCACAGAGGCAGGGGGTGGGGTGTGGCGAGGATGGTGGGAGGGATACTGGGGACATTGGTGGTGGAAAATGCACACTGGAGGGCTGAGTATTGGATCATTGTATGAGTGAAACTCAATCATGAAAGCTTTGTAACTGTATCTCAAAGTGATTCAATAAATAAGTAAATAATAAAAATAATAAAAAATTATAAAAAATGAAAAAAGTGGGCCAGAACGATAGCACAATAGGTATGGTATTTGGCTTGTATGGCAGCCAACCAAAGTTTAATGCCTCATACCCCGTATGATCTGCTGATCCCTGAACACAGAGCCTCGAGTATGCCCAAAAGAACAAAAACCAAAACAGAACAGTAGGAAATCACTACTAAAAATGTTAGAATTGTGGTTATTTGGGGGAAAGATAGAAATATTGTAATAGGGAACATAGGGCAAAGGGCAAAGGAAAATGATGTTGTAGTTTCATAATTGTGTTCACTTTGATAATTTTTCAAATTGTACAGTGATGATTTGTACATTTTTCTGTGTGTGCTCTAGCAGACCTTCCCACTGATGTGATCGGGCAAAGGAAGGTGCATTGAAGATGATGATGATGTTCGCTCTTTAAAAAAATTTTTTAATTAATTTTTTAATGAATTACCATGAGATACAGTTACAAATCTTTCATGTTTGAGTTTCAATCATACAATAATCGAACACCCATCCCTCCACCAGTGTTCATTTTCCACCATGAATGTCCTACCCCATCCCACCCCTGCCGCTGCCTCTATGGCAATTTCCCTCTTTCTCTCTCTAGATGATGTTCACTCTTGACTGTATAGATTTTGAAAATTAAAAGCTGATACTATCATTTAAGTTCACTCTTGTGATATTTCTTAACTAATACATGTAGTGAGATTTCTTTACTATTACATCAAATACATCAAATATATCCTTTGATGTATTTGATATGTTCCCTGTTTCTTTACAGACCCTGCACAGGGAAAGGCTATGCTGGTTGTTATTAAACGCTGTGTTCTCGCTCTGTATAGCTATTTCGCCTCTCATAGGATTACTATAGTGACAACCTCATGTATTGCGGCTAGGAAAAGTCACTGCTGATAAATGGCTTCTAATGTTTTGAACAGCAACTTGCAAAATGCCTCTTATAATTCTGTTTAGAAGTAATCAAAAAATAATTGATCTTTTTCTCCTTTGAATTCAGTCATGTCAATAAAATCCTTGAAGCAAGGGCCATTGGAGTCAAAGTGTTTGAAGACTATGCAATAACTTGGCATTGGATTCTCATGTAAGTGAAAATACAGGTGTTTCATCTCCACCTCGATTCTGATTTTTATCTTTGTAGAATTTGTTTTTCAAATTCTCTTTCATATTGGTAAATAAACTTCATTCAAGGATCAGTACCTACCTTTTATTTTTAGATAGGGTGAATATGGAGCAAAGATATTTAGAAATATACCTGAGTTTGATTCCTCTGCCCCTCTCGGAGAGCCTGGCAAGTTACCGAGAGTATCTTGCCATCACGGCAAAGCCTGGCAAGCTACCCGTGATGTATTTGATATGCTAAACACAGTAACAAGTCTCACAATGGAGACATGAACAACGGGAGGACAGTGACAGTGATACTCAGTATTCACAGAAAAGCATATGAATGTAATACTTAATCTATTAACTAAATTTCTTTTTTTTTTACTGGTTCCATTTTTTAAAAATTTTTTTTTATTACTGAAGCACCATGGGGTACAGTTGTAGATTTACAAATCTTTGTGCTTGGGTTTCGGTCATACAATGATCAAATAGCCATCCCTCCACCAGTGCCCCTTTTTCCACCACCATGGATAATATTCCCCCTATCCCCCCCTCCCACCCTGCCTCTGTGGCAGGGCATTCCCTTTTGTTCTCTCTCTCCTTTTGGGTGTTGTGGTCTGCAAAAGAGGCATTGAGTGGCAAACATGTTCAGTCCATAATCTACTTTCAACATGCATCTCCCCTCCTAGGAGTATCCTCCAAACACCCTTTATTTGGTGCTCCCTTCTCTATCTGAACTACCCTTTCCCCTAGAATAGCCGGCTGGCCTCTAAGCTATGGAGTAATCATCCTGGTGTTGATTTCAGCTATTCTTGGGTATTAATCTCATATTTTGTTACTTTATATCCCCCAGATGAATGCAATCTTTCTATGTCTATCCCTCTCTTTCTGACTCATTTTGCTTAGCATGATACTTTCCATATTGTACCACTTGTATGTAAATTTCATGACTTCATCTTTTCTAAGAGCTACATAGTACTCCATTGTGTAGATGTACCAAAGTTTCTTTAACCAGTCATCTGTTCTTGGGCACTCAGGTTTCTTCCAGTTTCTGGCTATTGTAAAGAGTGCTGCAATGAACAAACAAGTGCAGATGTCTCTTCGACTACACATTTTTGCCTCTCTGGGATATATTCCCAGGAGTGGTATCACTGGGTCAAATGGGAGCTCAATTTCTAATTTTTTGAGAAACGTCCATACTGTTTTCCAAAAGGGCTGATTTTTTTATTAGTGAGACACCATGAGGTACAGTTGTAAACTTACAAATTTTTGTGCTTGGGTTTCAATTATACAATGATCAAATACCCATCCCTCCACTAGTGCCCATTTCCCACCACCACGGATCCCAATATCCCTTCCACCCCCCCATCCCTCCATCCCACCCTGCCTCTAATAAAAGTATGTTTATAAATATGTGCTTCAAGTCAGGATAGCATCAGTAGCACATTTACTACTCATCATCACATGTTACAGTAGATAGTGTTTCACTGGTTATCTTTTTTCCTTCTTTTTTCCTTTTTGGTTTTGGGGTCCGGTTCTTAAACAGGGATAACTCCTGGGAGACTCTGGAGACCATATGGGATGCTAGGGATCAAACCCTGATGGGAACTTTACTATTTCTCTGGCCCCCACTGGTTGTGTTTTCTTATTTGTCCTGTCCTCACCCTCAAAGGACCATTGACATTTTTGACACATCCTTTCTACATAGATTGTTATCTTCATCATGAAAGTTTATTGTCATTATGAGGGGCTTAAATTGCAGGAGATTTTAAATTTTTACTCCTAAGATTTGCATCCCTAGAAAGGTAAGGGAAAATAATGCAGTCACCATACTGAAGTGGATACATGTGATATAATTATGACTTATCAATATATGACTTGTATCAATTTCAAAAACCTCAAAAGCATATATAATCTTTGGTGATCAGAGATTAATATAAAATATTCTGCATATATTTTAAAATGCCCTTTTCATATTGACCCAACTTAATTTCCCATATTCATTTTCACACAATTTTTAAGACTATATATCATTTTGTTTGTTTTCGATCATACCTGTCAGTGCTCAGGTATTGCTCCTTGCTCTGTGCTCAGAACTTACTCCTTGCTCTGTGCTCAGCAATTACTCCTTGCTCTGTGCTCAGGAACCATTCTTGATGTGGCACAGCAGAGATCATATCAGGTACTGGGGATCAGACCCCAGAAAGCCACAAACAGGACAAGCATCCTACATGCTGTACTCTTCAGCCGCTAAGTCTACACTCTAAACTTAAATAGCACATCCATCTGTCAAATCTCCTTATTTTTGTACATTCTCTTGTCTTCCCAGCATATCTTTTGTTGTATCCTGAAAAACTCCTTTTCTTCTTTCTCTCCCTCCCTTTTTTTCTTTTGTTCTTTTTCTCCTTTCTTTTCTCCCTCCCTTCCTTTCTCCCTTCCTTTTCCCTATCCTCCCTCCCTTCTTTCCCTTTCTCAAACTCACCTCATCACCACCCTCCAAGCATTTCTTCAGGTAAATATAGCTCTGTTATATATGTCTAACAGTTTACTTTTATTTTGTTCTATTTGTTCATAAGTTTTATATCCTTATATAAGTGAAAACATTAAATACTGTATCTTTTTTATTCTGACAAGATTGGGCACAGTCAGAGTAGTATGGCAGTAGACATCTTCATTCTGGGTGTATTTGATTTCACGTTTATATTGAGCTCTATTTTGCTGAAAATAGCTTATTTTGTCCTAAATATCACTGAATGGTATTCTGTTTTGTGAATCTACCTCATAACTCAAAATCAGTTTTCTTGTATTTCGTGGATTCTTTCTTGATTTCCCAAGATATAACTAATTTCTGCCCTCTCTGAGTTCCTTGTCACCACTGTCACCACTCACTATCACTGTATGAGTATGCACACACTCCTCTACTCTCACACAGTTAGCTGTCTTCTATATAACCCACCATTTTGTGTTTTATTTACCTAGTTCATACCCTCTATCCCTCTCGGAAAGACTGGCAAGCTACCGAGAGTATTCCGCACACACGGAAGAGCCTGGCAAGCTATCCGTTGTGTATTCGATATGTGAAAACCAGTAACTACAACTGGTCTCATTCACCTGACCCTGAAGGCTTCACTGACATGGCAGCACTGAGAAGGATGAGAAAGGAGAGGTCGATAAAATCTCAAGGCCGAACTAGGCTGCCACAACGAAGGAAGACAAAAATGATCGTCTGTACTTTCAATGCACGTACGCTAGCATCAAATGCATCCATCGAGGACCTGATGGTACAAGCGCAAATGATCAAGTACAACATCATTGGTCTGACCGAGACAAGAAGGCACGAATCTCACCATGCCGTTTTCGACACTGGAAAAGAATTGTTCCTCGGAACATGTGATAAAAGAGGTGTCGGAGGCGTTGGTGTCCTTTTCAACACAAACTTGGCCATGAGCATTGATTCATTCGAATGCCTAACAACCCGAATCGGACGTTTACATTTGAATAGATGTGCCTCACTGCCGGCAGTTTCTATCTTCGTTGTCTATGCACCAACATCTCATTATGATGAAAGAGAAATCGAGAAGTTCTACATGGAGCTGGAGAAGTTCTATAAAGAAGACCACACCTTCTACAAGATCATTGTGGGTGATTTTAATGCCAAGATAGGACCTAGAAGATCAGCTGAAGAACTTCATATTGGGACCCATGGCCTTGAATGGAATAAACAGGGTGAGAGACTGTCTGAGTTCATCATGTCGACCAAGACCATCCATGGTAACTCACAGTTCCAGAAGGCAGAATCTAAACGTTGGACATGGGAGTCTCCCGGTGGATGATTCCACAACGAAATAGACCACATCATATTCAATCGACGGTTTTGCCTGACTGATGTCGCTGTTGTCCCAAAATTCCGAATGGGATCAGACCACCATCTCTTTCGTGCAAAATTCTACTTCACAGAGCGGGGAGAAAGGGCTGCAAAGTTTAAAAAGAGAACTCCCAGAACGACCACCAACTGGGAGCTCTTTGGCACTATTGCGGCAACATGGGAAGATGCCATTGTTGACAACATTGACGAGGAATACGATCAACTGGTTCAGCACCTCCATGATTGTGCGAAGAATGCCAAGAGAGAGATAGCCACAAAAAAAAAGTCTGTCTTTGAAAACTCTTGAGCTTATTCGCCAGCATGGTTTGGTGCATGCCTCAGGCAACCGCAAGCTAACGTCCAAGCTCGCAAAGCAGTGCAGAGATGCAATCAAGGAAGACCTCAAAGAGAGAAGAGCAGAAGTGCTGGTAGATGCGGCAGAAGCCGGGACAAGTATTCGTAACGCCCGCCTGTCCTTCGCCAACTACAAGACCAAGATGACTGCCCTCCGACGTTCTGATGGATCTATCACATCGATTGTGAGTGTAGAAAGGTCGGACTGTAGCTGAATCTCACGAAGACAATGTATGCGCAATGGACTCATTTCTGATATTTCATTCACTCTCAATGGAACAAACATCTCTGAGTGCAACAGTTATATGTACCTAGGTTGAGAACTCAACATGATGAACGACCTGGCACCTGACTTGTGCAGGAGGAAGAGAGCGGCATGGAACACCTTCAGGAGCATAGAAAAAATAGCTAAGAGGATGAAGAACCTCCAGCTCTGAGTACATCTCTGCAACTTCACCATTCTTCCTGTATTAACGTACGCCTCAGAGACCTGAGCACTATGACAACAGGTTGAGGATGTTATTTGTGTCTCCCAAAGAGGAGTCGAAAGAGCTATGCTTGGAGTATCATGCTTCATTCAAGTGAGAGTAGGAATCCAGAGTTCCGACCTCCGTCAATGATTGAGAATCAGGGATGCTGTCTCGTTTGCCAAGGTGTCGAATATCAGATGGGCTGGACACATAATACGATTTGAAGACGACCATTTGACTAGTGCTATTACCAACTGGATTCCACAGGATGTCAAAAGATCGTGTGATTGCCCACTTATGAGATGGTCAGACTTCTTTGTCAAGACCTTGAATGAACAGTTTGAGGCTCTTCGTGTTCCTGTAGCGAGCAGAAGCCATTGGGCTACACTAGCACGTGACAGGGAGGAATGGAGACGTAACTGGTGCCCACTCGAGCAAATTGATGAGTAATGGGATGTGAAGTGATCAATTGATCAAGTGATTGGTCAGCTTTAGCCTGGCAGTACTGGTGGCCCACCAGGGTCAGAATAAAGGAAGAACTGGTGGTATCTAGGAGACATTCAGTGCACGGGATTGCAGTCAAAGTTTTACAATTTCAAGCTTTATCTATCTCTCTGGATGTTAAGTATCATTATGCAATTCTGAATTTATTGAGAACCTTTACGCTCAGCGCATTTTGAACTCCCGAGTAACCTCAATGAGCTTGGATGTTCAATCTCTAGTACCCCATGTGGTCCCCCACATAATCCATGAATGCATAGCCAGGAATAAAATCTGAGTACTGCTGGGTGTGGCCCAAATTTTTTTTTAAAAAATTTCCAATCATATATTATTAAAATCATTAAAGTGTTTATGGCTTGAAAAGGTAATGGCTTCTGATCCTAAAAGTATAGATCCTAAAAGTATAAGACTATGATCTAAGAAGGTACTTTGATTTCTCATCATGTAGGTACCTTCCATGTCTTACAATACCATGCTGCCAGCTATCCAGTGACAATAGTTAAGATTTTGTTTTTGGAGCCTGAAAACAATATAATCATAAAATGTACCAGATTATTCATATTATTATTATTATTTTGATTTTTGAATCACACCCAGTGATGCTCAGGGGTTACTCCTGGCTCTGAACTCAGGAATTACTCCTGGAAGTGCACAGGGGACCATATGGGATGCCAGGGATTAAATCCAGATTGGCCATGTGCAAGGCAAATGCCCTCCCCACTATACTATCATGCTGGCTCTCTGCATATTATTATGTTTGTAAAATTGAAGATAAAATTAAAGGTTTAAGTTATTTTTTTATTTGGGTTTTTATATGATACTCAGTAGTTCTCAGGGGATGGTTCTTGCTCTATGCACAGGAATAACTCCTGCGCTGCTTGGGGAACTATATGGGATTTCAGGGATCGAACCTGGATTCGCTGCTGCAAAGCGAACACCCTACTCTCTGTATACTATTGCTCCAGCCCCAGGAGAGGTATAAATTCTTTGACAGTCAAACTTGTAATCTTAATCTATTCTCTTTGATGAGATTATCTGGTAAATTTCATTGAGTTAAAATATATATACATATATATGTGTGTGTTTATATATGAAGCAGGGAGAAACATTTCCCATAAATCAGTCAAATTATTATAAGAAATTAAAACAGAAGAATAGTGACCACTGGTCACTTCATAAATCACATGGCCCAGGAGACATAAAAGTCTTATCATTGTTCTAAATAAAAACCCACAGAACACTATAGACCTAAAATAGATATTTGATGATGTCAGATATCACAACCTAACAAAAGATAATTAAACCATAGCAATAATAAATACAAAAATATCAATTTAGGGACTTTTCCAGTTAGCTGATTTTTCTGGTGCTTCTTAGTAAAACTGTTCCCTCTTCTAGATAGAATCCAGTATTTCCCAAAGTGGGAGATACTGAATCCTGGGTAACACTGGAATAATCCAGAGACTCAATAATAGCTTCTCATGGGATTAAAAGTGTGACTTTCTGTTTGGTGGCTTCAAGAGAATAGAATTTCTGCAAAGCACTGGTGATTTTTTTTTTCTTCAAAGGAGGCAGTAGATCTAATACATTAGTTACTGGTACCCATGTGATTGATTCATGTGTAAATACCTTGATGTTCTCTCTCTCTCATATGGAAGGCTTAACTGAAACCATCTTTTTCTTTCAGTCATAGTTTCATCATTATGTTGCTATAGCTGGGTAAAATAAGATAGTATAAAAATATTTTGAATTGAAATGTCTTAATGTTTTTATCATGTTTTATTCAGCATAATTGGCCCCTGTGTTTATTGTGTGTTTTCTCTTTCAGTGGCTTTACTATTGCCATGATCCTCAGTTGGTTCTTTGTGATACTTCTGAGGTTCACAGCTGGATTACTCTTCTGGGTCTTCATGTTTGGTTTGATTGGAGTTTTAGGTTATGGTGAGTATCACCCTTCTTAAAATCACAAAATATCAAAGGAATATTCTTTTTGGTTGCCTTTATCAGTTATCATGAAGTATTTTACTTGCAGTAAATTTATTTTTTTATTTGTTTCCCCAAAGTGTTAACCTGAGCAGTTTGTTTAATCATGCATTTGTTGTATCAAAACATTTTCTTCCTTATTTTGGAAAAAAAGTGCTATCAAAGCACATTTTTCTTTCCGTTTTTCCCTACCAATCTTTGCTCTTACACCCCAGTGGTATTAAAGAGGTAGAAAGAATCTCTTTTAGGTCAATAAAAAACATTCCAGACAACTTATTTTATTCCTTTAACTTGTCTATCTGATCCAAGAGCAGTCTGCATTGTTAAAGAGGTGTGATCTATCTTTCTCTCAATTTAGTCCATTTTTTTTTCTTTTTTGGGTCATACCCAACAATGCACAGGGGTTACTCCTGGCTTTGCACTCAGGATTACACTTGGCATTACTCCCCGGACCAGATGGGATGCTGGGAATTGAATCCAGGTCAGCCACAATGTACAAGGCAAACGCCCTACCCACTCCACTGTACTATAGCTCCAGCCCCTAATTTAGTACTTTCAGTCCACGTAATTTAGCTGACCAGTCCTCCATAATGAAGTATTACCCTTTGCACAGGTATTCTGAATTATACTCATTGGATGGAGAGTTACTGTTTCAGTGTTGAAATATTGACTGACTCGATAGGCCTGCTTAAAAGCAGTACAAATGCTATGTACTATAACTGTAATTATATCTGTCTATAATAAGCACTAATCAATTAAACTAAAGGAATTTAAATCTCACCCAAGAATAATACAACACAAGTAGCAGCATTATTTCTGCCTTTTAAGAAGTGTGTGAACCAATACTTGAATGTGTGATAGGTTTCATTTCAAAAGAATGATTTCTGGGGCCAGCGATATAGCCCAAAAGATGAGTGTGCACAACATATTCCAGCACCACACCTCCACCAGTGTTGCAGTGTCCTACTTATCTATAATATTAGAACAAACAGTGGTATCTCTATTGCATAAGATTGTGAGGATTAAATGAGGAAATGAATATGAAACTCTCAGCACTTCCTAAAGCACTTAAACATTCCATATATGTTGAGTTGTGGTTATTATGCTTCTTACTTACATCCTAGCATGTTTCTAGACAATGCATATCTCTTTGGGTTTTCTTTATTTGTTTCTTGTAGAGGACTTGAATCTGTCTGTTTGAGGATCATAAAACTCTACTTCCAATCATATACTCCCAAGGATAATTTTTAAAAAATTTTTATTAGTGAAACACCATGAGGTACAATTGTAGACTTACAAATTTTTGTGCTTGGGTTTCAGTTATACAATGATCGAGTATCCATCCCCCCACTAGTGCCCATTCTCCACCACCACTAATCCCAATATCTCTCCCACCCCCATCCCCCCATCCCACCCTGCCTCTGTGGCAGGGCACTCCCTTTTGTTCTCTCTCCCCTTTTAGGTGCTGTGGTTTGCAAAAGAGGAATTGAGTAGAAATCATATTCGGTCTATAGTCTACTTTCAGCATGCATCTCCCATCCTGGGCGGATCTTCCCAATACCCTTTATTTGGTGTTCCCTTGTCTAACTGAGCTGCCTTTATCCCTAGAGTGTGCAGCTCGCCCAAGGATAATTTTTATAAAAAAAATACATCATTGCTTCTCAGCCTTTTGGCTATGATCAAGTGTAGTATAAAATATACATCTTTAAATGTTATTATAGTTTAGAAAATATATTAACAATAGTATTTAATTTCATTGTATTTGTGTACAAAGTTACTGGACACCACCACCATCACCACCAAAGAACCAGTGACCCTGCATCACTGTCCAAAAATCCCTTATTTATAAGTACTTGTGTTTCTGTTTGGAGCTTAAAAAATACCTTCCTGCCCTTTGCCACTTTTAAGTCTAAGCATGTGATTTAGTCAATCTTTTATCGTCTTCAAGAAGAAAAGGGTAGTAAAGTCTACTATTGATTTTACTGAATTGTCTCAAAGATCAAGAAAAATTCAAGACTGGCTGTAGTACAATGCTGACAGTAGCAAAGAGAAAAAAGATGGTTATTATCTAAGAAGTACAGGTAAAACCAGCAATATCAGCATCCTACTTCCTCCTTACATAGCACAATCCAGAAATTAATGGTGTGGCAAATAAATTTGAAATTATTTGGCGGGGGAAATATCCAAGTAGATTAGGAAAAATGCCCAACACTATGTAACTGACCTCTGCTACTACCATCTTAGACAGCCAACTCTCTTCCTATTCCTGGGAAACCAATCATTTTCTACTGACAGCAGCCTACTTACTGGGGCAAAGACCAATGTGGATGTGTCCTACTGAGGAAAGAAAGCCAGGCTATTTGTGTGCAAATGATTGTAAGCAGCAGTAGAACAAATCTTATTGACCCAGAGCAAGATTAGAGAGACCTATTCCAGACAGGCCATATAGCACGACGATTTCAAATATGGATTTAGATATTGAAAAAGACACAATCCCTGAGTCACCACATATTTATTAACTATGATTTTCTGCTAGTATATAGTCTCTAATTTAGCATTTCTCCAACCATACAGTAGTAAATATGAGTCAAAGTAATGTACATAGATAGTTAAAAAGTTGCATAGTACATACTAACTAATCTTAAATAGCTTATTCTATTGTTGCTTGTTATATAGAAATATTATGAAAAAAGAGAACTTGAAGCTCAGGGGGTTGTGCCTTTAAACAAAAAGAGCTAATACAGAAGAGAGAAGAAGTAGAGAAATAAATTGGAAAACGCGGTAGGGCGTTTGCCTTGCACACAGCCAACATGGCTGACCCAAGTTCGATTCCTCTGCCCCTCTCGGAGAACCTGGCAAGCTACCGAGAGTATCTCGCCCACATGGCAGAGCCTGGCAAGCTCCCCGTGACATATTCGATATGCCAGACACAGTAACAACAAAGTCTCCAATGGAGACGTTACTGGGCCCGCTCGAGCAAATTGATGATCAACGGGAGGGCCTTTACTTACTTTACTTTTAATACTTTCACATCTGCCTATATGAAGAAAGAAAATTTTGTGGAGGGCCCTATTGTTTTTTTTTAATAGCAAAAAAGTGCTATTTTTTATATAATGTATTTTTATATAATGTATTATTTTGCTGAGTTAATAGAAAATAAGAAAATCTCTTAAAATTCTTAAATATTTTGGGGGGCTGGAGTGATAGCACAGCGGGTAGGGCATTTACCTTGCATGCGGCCTACCCGGGTTCAATTCCTCCATCCCTCTCGGAGAGCCTGGCAAGCTACCAAGAGTATCCCGCCCACACAGCAGAGCCTGGCAAGCTCCCCGTGGAATATTCGATATGCAAAAAAAACGGTAACAAGTCTCACAATGGAGACGTTACTGGTTCCTGCTCGAGAAAATGATGAACAACAGGAGGACAATGACAGTGACAGTGACAATATAACTGGCAGTGCTCAGAATTTACTACTATCTCTGGGCTCAGGAGTCACTGCTAGAGGGGCTCAGGGAAACACAAGCAATGCTGTATATTGAAGTTGTTTTAATGCATACAAGGCCAGCACCTTACCTGCTGTACTATCTCTTCAGCCAAATAAAAGTAAATAAAATTACACCCACATTCTTAATTAAAATTGGGGGGGATGAGCCTAAAGCATGTGTATGAAATTCTAGGTGGCCCCTTCCACTGCTCCAATCAGGAAACTTGAACTGAAACTTCAGCAGTGTTAGAACTGGAAACTTTAACATTTGTCTGGGAATCTGGAAAATATCAAAAATGAGCCAAGTTTGGTAATATTTTAAGGTTGTCACAGAAACAGAAATATCTTCGGTAGACCAAATCACCCAGTCAGGTCAGTAGGTTTCCAGAGGCGGAGATGAACAGAGTATGAGTCATAATCAAAGATTACTCACCATGCAAGAAAAGTCTTCTCATTATGAAAAATAAAAAATACAAACATTAGATCAGTGTTCAAGAGAGTCAGATATGGAAATCGGTAAGTATAGAACATGAAGTAACTATGCACAAAGTGTTTATAAATTAAAAGATCAAGTTAAAAACAAATAATGAAAATGTCCAAACATAAATGAAGATTAACTAAATAGAATATTGAAAATATCAGTTGAGGGGCCAGAGAGATTGTACTGTAGGCAGAGTGTTTGCCTTTCATGCAGCCAACTTGGGTTCAGTCCCTGGCACTCTCTATGTTCCCTTTAGTCCTGCCAGGAGTGAAGCCTGAGCACTGAACTAGGGAGTAAGCCCTGAACACCACTGAATGTGGCCTCAAAGCCAAATAAATGGAGTTTCGAGGTATAGTATATGAATGTCATTGTAGTACAGATAAAATATTCAAATTTAAAAATATAGATTAAGTGCTGTACAGTGGTTAAGGCACTTGCCTTGCATGTGGCTGCTCCTGGTTTGATCACTGGCTCTGCATAGTGGAACCCCCTGGCCCTCCCACCAATGCAGAGCTAAGACTAGCCCTTTAATGCCACCAGATACGATCCAAACTTTCCCCCAAGAAATAGTAAATGATTGTTTAAATTAGGTTAAAATAAAATTGTTAGATTATATTAATAGAAAATAAAATGAAAGATTTATTTGTTCAGCAGATATCAAGTAGTGCCTTTATAGTTGCTAGATGGGATGCTATCTGATTTAATAAAATCAGTAAAGTCAATTAAATATCTAAAATTGTACAACACAAAATCAAGTAGCTATTGTGTAAAGACATCATTTTGAGAGAGACCTATAAACAAAAAGACAAAGGTCTTTATTCTCTCTTATAATTTACTTATAAGCCCAGGTAAATTATCTATTTGTAGTGATTATTGGGGTCTGGCAGATTGTATAGGGGTTAGGGCAGCAAACCATGTTGAATCCCTGGCACCTATGGTTCTCAGAGCACTGTCAAATATGCCTGGTGGTTCCCAGAACTGCAGGACCCAAGCAGCATCACATCCTTGGGTTCACTGAACTGCTGGTTGAGTCAGCAGAGTATTGCCTGGAGTGGCTACCAAACTCACTGAGTACCACTTGGGGTGACCACCCCATCAACACACACACACACACACACACATGCACACACACACACAAGAATACAAGAATATGATGTTTGCTTTGGAAAATAGAAAAAAAGAGAACAGGTAAAGGGCATTATCAGAAAGTATTATGATAATAAAAGTGCAAGCTGCAATATATTATAGGGTATATCTTTTCAAGAGGGCACCAAGATAAAAACCCTGAACGGGAAATGTTGTTAGACATTGGATTAGGGAAAAAGTTTAATACGATGAGTATATTGCAAGAGCAAAATCCCAAAGAATGTGTAGAAGTGTGTAGAGGAAAGGACCAGAAAATTGGTGTAGTAAGTAAAAGGAAGAACAACAGAATAGGAGGCTTTAGAATTTATCAGGGGTCAGAGCTTTATAGTTGTTTGTCAGATCTTGCCTTTTACTCTGAGTGAAACGAGAAGGTAAAGAAGGGTTGAAAATAGAAAGGGAATATGAAGTGATTATTCCTCTAGTCCCTGTGTTGAGAAAAGATTGTAGTGAAGGAAGAGCAGAAATAATCAGAACAATATGAAGGACTTGCAAAAGCCCTGTTCTAAACAAGGGAAATACAGAACATCATGGCTACCATGAAAATGGACAAGTATTTCCAGAAGGAGCTGTGGTTTTTAATGTGGAATCAACTGACTTCTGATGTATTGAATGTATATAATGAAAATGAAGAGCCAAAATGGCTTCAGAGATGAATAAATAGTGTAGGGATTAAGGCACTTGTCTTGCATGTACTGACCTTGATTTGGTCTTTGTGTACCACGTAGGCCTCCATACATCTCAGAGCACAAAGCTGGGAGTAACCCACCAACACCATTGGGTGTGACCCAAACATTTAACCTAAAAAACAGGAAAAATGACACTGCTATAAACTGAAAAAAGGAAAATTTGAGTAAAATAAGGCTGGTTTAGGAATAGAATTGATTGGAGTTTTGGATCTGTTGACTTTAGATCATTTATTTTCATTAAACTGGAGGTGTTTGGTATGCATTTAAATGTACAAGCAAGATTTATAGTGTATAAAATGTAAAAATATTTTATGGTATTCAAGCCATAAAACTGCCCAAGATCACATTTAAAATGTCTAGATAGCTGTGTATACCAAGAATGGCACTCAGAAATTATTGAATATTAAGGGGTCAGGGGAAAAAATAACTCACAAAATCAGCAAAAAAGAGAAACACGCATTTTGAAAAGCAAGATGAGGTACTAAGAGCGGTGAGGAAAGGAAGGAGTGCCCAACCATGTCAAATTATGTTGATAGATCAAAAATATGAAATTGAGAAGTGACCTTCAAGTTGGAAATTGACAGAGATATAATAATTAAAATAATGAGGGGGCTGTCAGAAAATGGGAGAGGAGAATAATAATAAATAATATAGATGACTATACTGTATAGTTCTGTCACAGTATGAAATAAGAAGTGAGGACGAGGGTCTGGAGAGATAGAACAGTGAGTAGGGTACTTGCCCTGTATGCAGCTGACCTAGGTCTAATCTCCAGAATCCTAAATGATACCTTGAACCCCACCAGAGGTGATCCCTGAATGCAGATCCAGGAGTATGTCTCCCTGGTGAGACCCAAAAAACAAAACAAGACAAAAAAGATCACTCAGGAATCACTTCCGTTGATACTCAGGGAACCATATGTGGTGTATGCCAGTAATCAAACCAGTTTTGGCTGCATGAAAGACAAGAGCCTTAACCTATATACTATATATCCAGCCCCTGTTTTTTCTTTAATATTAGAAAATTTAAATACATTGCTATTGCTCTTATTACAAAAATTACAGCGTGTTTTTACATAACTTCATATCTTGTTTATTTACTTTAAAGCATCTTAGTGATTATTCTGTTTTACTAGATTCTCTCCTCTTAACATGGAAATGTAATTGCTTACTATACACATAAACTCTTTATTGAATCAGTCACTATTGGTGGTCATTAGGATTATTTCTATTTGTAAGGACATTTGCAACCGTGAATTTGCCAGCATCTTCCAGACAAGTGGTAAAAACATTTACCTTTAGACTATTAGCTGTTTATCACATATTTGCTGTTCAAATATGAATCCTTTTTCAGAAATGACAATGCTAACAGTTCTATGTAAATATGTGTGATAAATCACTAACTTACAGCTCAAAAACATTTTTATTGGTTTTTTGTTTCATTTTCAGGAATATGGCACTGTTACCATGAATATAACTATCTTCAGGAAAAGCCAATGCCTCAATTAACTATATATAGCATTGGGATTCAGACTGATATAAGCATGTACTTTCATCTGAAACAGATGTGGTTCGTACTTAGTGAGTAGATTTTAAGGATTGATTTGTTAAAATTGTAATAATTTTTTATAAAAAACTTAAGGTTGTACCACCAATTAAATATATTACTAATACATTGACTTATACTAATACATTAATAAATTGACTTATTTCTGTAAGCATACTAGCTACAGAAAATGGTAAGGTCAATCAGAGGAATTTTTCATATAGTCTAAGAAAACATTATCTTGGTATAATTTCAAGCTATTGCCTTCAACTTAAGATGATTTGGATGAGGAGGTGGCGGGGGGAGAGGCACACTGAGATCATTGGTGGTGGAGAATGGGCACTGGTGGAGGGATGGGTACTGAGCATTGTATGACTGAAATGTAATACAAAAGTTTCTAAGTCTATAACTGCACCTCACAGGGATCCATTAGAAAAAAAATAATTTTTTTAAAAAAATAATAAATAAAATAAAAGTAAAGAAAGAATAAATGAGAAAAATAGCATCACTCTTCAGAAGTAAACATCCTGTAAAGGTTTAAAAAAAAGATAATTTGGATGAGGATACTCTCAATCCTGGAGTCACCAAAATCTCAGCTTGATAAGTATCATTTATCTTCCTTTGGGCTGGACTGATAGCACAGTGGGTAGGGCATTTGCCTTGCACATGGCCAACCCGGGCTCGATTCCTTCATCCCTCTTGGAGAGCCCGGCAAGCTACCAAGAGTATTCCGCTCACATAGCAAAGCCTGGCAAGCTACCCGTGACATATTCAATATGCCAAAAACAGTAACAACAAGTCTCACAATTTGTTGTGAGATGTTACTGGTGCCCGCTCAAGCAAATCGATGAGCAATGGGAGGACACTACAGTGCTATATCTTCCTTTACTTTATGGTCTCTCTTCCTCTTTCCCAAACTCTTTCTAAATAAAACTATTTTTACTTCTTTCTCTCTCTCTCTTTCTCTCTCTCTCTCTCTCTCTCTCTCTCTCTCTCTCTCTCTCTCTCTCTCTCTCTCTCTCACACACACACACACACACAGAGCTGGTTTTGATGAAGATGTTCATATGTTGGGGCCGGAGCGATAGCACAGCCAACCCAAATTTGATTCCTCCACCCTCTTGGAGAGCCCCACAAGCTACCGAGAATATGTTGGCTGCATGGCAAAGCCTGGCAAGCTCCCCGTGACGTACTCGATATGCCAAAAACAGTAACAAGTCTCACAATTTGTTGTGAGACGTTACTGGTGCCCGCTGGAGCAAATCGATGAACAACAGGAAGACAGTGCTACAGTTCATATCTTAGTATCTAAGAAGAATAAAAGGAAGAACACTTGATGAGGGTAGTAACAGTTTTTAAAGCATGATGATTTCAGAGATTGTTTTAGTTCTCTGATCTTGGAATGACTATTACACTATTCTTTACCCTTCACAGAGATTTGAGTTGTTTGATCAATATTTTTAAAATAATCTCTACATCTTGCTTATAAAAGTTATTTATGTATTGTTTAATTGAGTCAGGCAAGACATGTTTGAGGAAGCTTAGTAAGTAGCCTGAAAGAGATTATATCTTCATATGGGCCATCATGTTTCCATGTGGGTTCTATCCTCATAAATTTATAACCTTGATTTTTTTTCAAGGCTTTCAAGAACATACCTAAATTCTACATCATCTACCTACATACCTACATCACCAGTGTGATATTTGTTTACAATTTTGGGATACTTTCTCTGAGACCAGATTATAATCATACCCTACCTAAAATACCTTTTTTCTAAGACTAAGACATACGGGAGGCAAGTCTTTTAAGCAACTTTATTTTGGCAGAGATCCTTAATCTTTTTGTTTATTTGGGGGCCACACTTAGTGGTCCTCAGGTCTAATCTAACTCTGTGTACAGGGATCATTCCTGGTGGTGCTCCAGGAGTAACGTACACACCAAATTTGAATACTTTGTGGCAAAGTCCCCATTAGATTCCTTCATCTACTAAATTCATGTTTCTCTTTTCCTTGGAAAATAATGAATCAAAATATCAAATCCTTGCTCTTTGGCCTTCCAAACCTAGCTCTCATGCAAATTAGCTGCCTTCAAATATCAGTTTTAAAAGTATGTGGCAGAAAAGGTGTTTCATTCAAGCAACTTCTTTTTAACAAAAAAAAATTATGCATTTTGAGGACCAGGAAGTAGCTCAATGGTAAAGCATATGCTTTATGTCAATGAGGCCCTAAATTTGATCACCAACATCATCCTTCCCTCCCACCCCACCCACCCCCGCCAAAATGTCAGACAGCTTGGGATTTGCATCCTTTTTACTTTTCTTAAATTTGAGTGATTTCATGTATATTCAGCAATCTTCTTTCTTTTCTTTTTTTGTTTTTCTTTTTGGGTCACACCTGCAATGCAAAGGAGTTACTCCTATCTCATGCACTCAGGAATTACTCCTGCCGGTGCTCAGGGAACCATATGGGATGCTAGGAATCGAACCTGGGTCGGCAGCATGCAAGGCAAACACCCTACCTGCTGTGCTCTCGCTCCAGCCCCAGCAATCTTCTTAATGCTATATACCACTTATCAAAATGATAAGTTTTATCATTATGTATTAGCACTCTCTAGATTTACTCTCAAGTATTTTCTAAGCTACACTTTCTAAGGTTATCCCCCTCCTAACTATTCTAAGACCATCCACATAAAACTCACGAAAATAATCAGAATCTGCCACTGGAAAAGTTGCAATGTACTCGGAGGAAAATACAGTGCTACTTTTGTTTTCAAGTCTACAAATAGCACTGCACTGCACTGTCCTCCCATTGTTCATCGATTTGCTCAAGCGGGCCCAGTAACGTCTCCATTGTGAGACTTGTTGTTACTGTTTTTGGCATATCGAATACATCACAGGTAGCTTGCCAAGCTTTGCCATGCGGGCGGATACTCTAGGAAGCTTGCCAGGCTCTCTGAGAGGGATGGAGTAATTGAACCTGGTTCGGCCTCATGCAAGGCAAACTCCCTACCCGCTGTGCTATCGCTCCAATCCAAGTCTACAAATAGTACTCTCAAATGAGCTTTAGCTTCCATACCCAAGTTATCAGGAATTAATTATTTGATCTGTATTTGGACAAAATTCCAGCCACCAGAGATAAGGGTATATATGTGAAATTATACTCATTGACAGAAACACTGGAAATATGCTGAGTTTTGTGTACAGGTGTTACTGTTTTATTTTTATAGGCCTTAGATATTATTAGTAGACAAATCCATTCTCACTCCATGCTGTAAATGATCATAGTATCATCTTTTGAGAAATTAGGTATGCCAGTTATTCTTTATTTATTTTCAAATTTATTTCTGATGTTCCAATTCAAGCACAAGGAAAAATATATAAATGTCTCTAGTACAACCATCTTGGATATATGATTTCCAAAGGTAGAATTCTAAATACAATGTTCTTTATCAGTGCAATTTTAAAAAATAAATTATTTCTGCTATGTTCCACATTATTAGATTTGTCTAAGGATGATAATGGTTTTTAGCTTAGAATGCTTATACTCCATATTTTGGACTCAGTTCAGTGTTTTAAGAGGATGTATATGCATGGATACTAAGACTTCCCATATTTGGGCTAAGTTATCTACTTATTTGGAGATATTAATTCAAGAATGTAGGATGTAACATCTGAATATTAATGGTACTATAATGGACAATAAAAGTTGCAATAGCACCATAAATAGCACAGCGGGTAAGGTGTTGCTTTGCATGCGGTCAACCAGGGTTCTATTCCTCTGTCCCTCTCGGAGAGACTGGCAAGCTCCCCATAGTATATTCGATATGTCAAAAACAGTAACAAGTCTCATAATGGAGACATTACTGGTGCATGCTCGAACAAATCGATGAACAATACCAGGACAGTTCTACAGTGCTACTATAATGGACTGCAATAGTGCATGCTCTGTCACTGGAAGTTAGACACAAGCAGAACCACTCTCTAGCAAGGATACTACAGATGGAGATTTAACTTTCTGTTTCTTTCAGTTTCTTATTCTATTATTAGCAACACTATGCTTTCTTAATATAAGACTCATAACTTACCATATTTTTACCAGGATGTATCATAAAATGAATAGAGATTTAACAAAGTGTGTTTTAAGTTTTAAATTTTAAGTTTTCCTAAAATGTTATTACTAAATTTAAGATGTGCCTTAGAATTGAAGAAATGTACCAGTTAAAATATTTAGCTTGAAGTAAAAAGAAACTAATTCAAAATAATTGAAAAATAAAATGAGAACAAGTTGTAGACAAAGCCAGAACACTTTAAGAACTTATAGCTATCTCACCAAATTCAAATGTAGCAAGGCAGCAAATCGAACTTTCAGGATTCAGGATACTAAAAGCTAAAAAGGAGCCCAAAATTTCCTTTCCTTGTTCTTCTATATATGCAGTTTGTTTTTTGTTGTTATCTTTTGCCAATTTACTTTTGATTTATAAACTTCAGTTAAAGCTAAACTAGATTTTATGTCTAATTCTGAAACATTTATTAAACAATCTGGGTTGGATTTGTGCCCTAATTCCAATAATATACTGGCCATAATGGATGGAAACAAAACTAAAATGTTGCAGTCAAGACTCTACCATCAATTTTAATTCAAAGTTTTCTCTGAAATTGTTCTCTTATTCACTGAAATATAAGTGGAAATTTCTGAAATAGAGCTGTCTAAAGGAGCCCGTCCTTCCTTCCATACCTATTGGATCATTTCTATAATTGGTGTGAAAAGTTCCTTCCTGGAGATAAGTGAAGTAAATTATTGAAAGGAATCATTGCTTAAGGGTTTTGTTTGTTTGGGTTTGGGGGCCACACTCAGCAATGCTCAGGGATTACTCCTGGCTCTGCACTCAGGAATTACTGCTGGCAATGCTCCGGGAACCATGTGGAATGACAGGGATAAAACCTGGGTTGGCATCCTTCAAGGCAAGCTCCTACCTACTGCTTTGCATAAGGTTTCAATCTAGATTTCTTAGCAGGATGGACATAGGTCACACTCATCTGTGGGATATAAAGTAACAGAATGGGAGAGTAACACCCAAGAGTGGAGAGATAAGGATCAGCAGGTCTGCTCCACTGCTTGGAAACCAGCCTCACATGCTGTGGGAAAAGGCAGCTCAGATGGAGAAGGGAACACCAAGTAAAGGATATTGGAAGGACCCATTTGGGTTGAAAGATGCATGCCGAAAGTAGACTATAAACTGAACACCTTGCTCAGTCAATACCTCTATTGCACACCACCACAACAAAAAGGAGAGAGTACAAAAGGGAATGCCCTGCTGCAGAAGTGGGGGATGCGGTGGGGGTGGTGGGAGTCATATGGGAAACATTGGTAGAGGAGAATGGGCACTGGTGGAGGGATGGGTAAACGATCATGGTATGACTGAAATGCAAACACGAAAGTTTATAAGTTTGTAACTATATTATGCTGATTCACTAATAAAAAAAATTAGAAATAAATAAATAAAAATAAAGGGAATTTCTAAACTTTTTTCTGCTTTAATTATGAAATATCAATCATGAAGCTAAGTCCTACTTTTTGCTATGTAATTTTGTACTTTTTGTATTGATTTGTATAACATACTTTTTTTCTATTTAAAGTGATAATACTCTGCAGCTTTGAAGTGTTGATCATCGTCATGCTGATTTTCCTAAGGGAAAGAATCCGAATGTCCATTGTCCTGCTGAAGGAAGGGAGCAAGTAAGACCCTGATGGAGAAATTCATATACTTATGCCAGTCAGTCAGAATAGTCATTATCTATTGGGTAGATTGTCCAGACTTTTTTTCTTAATAATATTTATTTAAAAGGTCTGATTTCCATTCAGTGCTGGCTCAAATTGAGACTATTGGTTTCAACCAATAGGCTATTAAATTGGTTGAAACCAATAGTTGGTTGAAACCAATAGGCTATTAAATTTTTCAACATCCTCAGTCCCCAGTTATCTGAGAGTAACATAAAGTTATAACTAGTCTATGTATTAGGACTTTTAACACCAAATGTATGTTACTAAAATAGCATATGTGAAAAAAATATTGATGTGCTACATAAAAGTTGTACTATATATTGCTTTATTCCCATACTAATCAATGTGTTAATATGACTGATAAGATCATTTGTAAAACTTTAAATCACCATAATCTTATAGTTAATTTTGTGCTTTTTCCATTTCTGTTTGTATGACAAAATTTGCTAATAGGCAGAAAAGTCCATCTTAGTTATATAAGACTATATAATTTATATAAAAAATTTTTATCAGAAAATCATATTCATTTTTATTTTAAGATTCCATGAAAGACATTATATTTACTTGTAAAATTTGTCTTGGGAAGCAGTAATGTCTATAGTTTCCCAACTATTCCAAAAGGTTACCTAATACTGTAAACTTTTGAATAATATATGGAACATAAAGAAGAGCATTATTAGAAAACCAAAAGTGTTCTCTATTTAAAATGTTTAAAACTAAATTATTAATGACCACATACCAAAATTGTTTTAAATAGTCTTCAAGATTATTTTAACAAAATCATAATCATGCTACCTGAATGTTTCTGGTTAAAATAGTCAACAAGCACTTTGTTAAATTAAACTCTTCCTTTCCACAATAACTGAAGCCCTTTTATTAGCCACTGAAAAATACTGGTTTGCTGTATTTATGGAATAATATGATATTATGCAATTCACTGTAACTTGCCCTACTATTTTTTCTCTTAAGTGTGTGTGTGTGTGTGTGTGTGTGTGTATGTGTGTGTGCTGTTTGTGTGTGTATCTGTAAATGTAAGGACCTGTGACAGGCTGATTGCTTACTTAAAGGAAAAAATAAAACTGGAAAGGGTGTGAAAATGGTGAATATAGGAATGTGTAACAATAAGAACAGTGAGAAGAGCAAAGCTCAAATTATCAAACCAATGCAAAGATAATTCAGTATGTGTCCATGTATTAGTAATGGGAATATTTCATGATAATTTTCATGGCTATATCTGTTTTGAGTTTAATCAGTTGGCTTATGCAAAACAATATGAGGATCTAGACAAATGAAAGGAATACTATGATGGTAATGTAATCAATCTTTATTACACAGAGGCATGAGTTTGGGGAATTTTGACAGTAATGTGAGCATTGAAACAAACCTCTAATTTAAAATAAATACATGAATTTAAAAAATAATAATGTATTTGTTACTAAGTGATAATTATTACTAATAACAAAAGACATTTAAAAAATAATATGCCATAGTTAACAAGAAAACGGATGATGGTTATTATCACTGTTCTTAGAACTCATTCTAAGACATTTATAATTCTTTCAGATAAAAGCTTAATTGAGACCAAGGGGGCTAATTATAACTCTGGATCATTTTGAATTTCATCTATTTGTTTTATTTCAGAGCCATCGGATGCATCCCTACTACATTATTTTATCCATTTTTAACTTACCTTTTCCTGTCTATCTGCATTTGCTACTGGGCTGTGATAGCAATGTATCCTTTAGTAACTAACCTTTTTTAAACATTAGGTCTGCATATTCTGTTGAATTTTTCCTCAGATAGATAGTATTGTAGTTTTGACTTTTCCTCATATTTAGTACTACTCTATGGAAATATAACCTAAGAAAGATCCTGTGTATTGTATTTTTTTTCTTCCCTTTTGGTTTATGGTCTACACCTAGTGTTTTTCAAAAGATCCTGGCTTGGTGCTCGCTGGTTACTATCAGTAGTGCTCAGAGAAACATGCAGCACTGGAACAGGAACTCAGAGTTTCACATATGCAAGACAAGTGCTCTTCCACTTGATCACTTGATCACTTGACCCCGTTAGTCATCGATTTGCTCGAGTGGGCGCCAATAACGCCTCCATTTATCCCTGTCACGTGCTAGTGTAGCCCAATGGCGTCTGTTCATTCTAGGAACATGAGGCGCCTCAAACCGATCATTCAGGGTCATTACGAAGAAATCTGATCATCTCGTAGGTGGGCGGCCACACAGTCTTTTAACATCCCATGGAATCCAGTTGGTAATGGCTCTAGTCCAGCGGTCGTCTCCAAATCTCATTATGTGTCCAGCCCATCTGATTTTCGACACCTTAGCAGACGAGACAGTGTTCCTGATTCTTGACTGTCAACGGAGGTCAGAACTCCGGATTCTTTCTCTTATTTGCATGAAACGTGATACTCCAAGCCTAGCTCTTTCGATTCCTCTTTGGGAGACCTGAATAGAGTTCTCATCCTGTTTTCGTAGGGCCCAGGTCTCTGAGGCGTATGTTAATGCAGGAAGAACAGTGGAATCAAAGAGATGTGCCCGGACCCAGAGGTTCTTCGTCCTCTTAGCTATTCCTTCAAAGCTCTTGAAGGTGTTCCAAGCTGCTCTCGTCCTCCTGCGCAACTCAGGTGCCAGGTCATTCACCATGTTGACTTCTTGACCTAGGTACACATAACTGTTGCATTCGGAGATGGTCATTCCATTGAGAGCGAATGGAACGTCAGGAACGAGACTGTTTCTCATAAACATTGTCTTCATGAGATTCAGCTGGAGTCCTACCTTTCCACACTCACAGTCAAAGTTGGCCAACATTTATGCTGCTTGGCTAATGTTTGGTGTTATTAGAACAATGTCCTCAGCAAAGCGGAGGTGATGTAGTTGCTGACTGTCTTCACTCCCATTGCTTCCCATTCCAGTTGTCACATGACGTTCTCGAGGGTGGCACTGAAGAGTTTCGGTGAAATGGTATCACCCTGCCAAACCCCTCTCTTGACATGGATGATCACTTCTTTGTAGATTGGTGAGATCCTGGTAGTGAATCTGTAATACAGTTCACGGAAGATGCTGATGTATTGAGTTTGAATGCCCTGATTGGCTAAGGCTTCAATGACTGCTTCTGTCTCAACAGAATCAAAGGCCTTCTTTAAATCAATGAATGTTAGACAGAGCAGCATCTTGAACTCCTGAGAAACCTCAATGAGCTTGGTTATCATGTGGATATGGGCATCGAACTGAATCCTTTGCGGAACCTGGCTTGCTCGCATGGTTGTCCTTCATCTAATGTTCTGCTGATCCTATTCAGGATGACTCCAGCGAACTGCTTGTAGATGACAGACAATAGGTAGATAAGGCGATAGTTGCCAATGTCATGGATGTCTCCCTTCTTATACAGTAGTACAGTCCTGGTTTTCCATTGGAACAGAACCTTGCATTCAGACAAGTAGTGCATGAAGGGCTGAGTCAGTGTATTTATGAGTACTAATGGCAGATTTTTCAGGTGTTCAGGTCTGACCTTGTCTGGGCCTGGTGCTGTTCATTTCTTTACCGACAAAATGACGAGTTGGATTTCGGAAGAGAGAATGTTGGGAACGACATATTCATGCTGCAGTATTTGGTATGTGGGTAGGTGGACCTGGCTATCAAAGAGATCTGACTAGAAGTCATGGGTAATCTTCTCCATTGCCCTTCTGGAAGATGTGATAGATCCATCAGGATTTCGGATTGCAGTCATCTTGGTCTTGTAGTTGGCGAAGGACAGGCAGGCGTTACGAATGCTTTTCCCGGCTTCTGCTGCATCTACCAGCACTGCTGCTCCTCTCTCTTTGAGTACTCTTCCACTGAGCTATATGTGAAGCCCCTATTTTATTTGTGTACGAAGTCTCTAGCTGACCTCCATTATATTCTTCTTGACTTAACAAATAGATGAATTACTAAAATGTTACTACTTTGTTCTGTTTGGAGTTGGCTTTATGGCTTTTGGGTGGTGGTGGGTGGAGCAACTCCTTGCTTTGTGCTCGGAGGTAACTGTCAGCAGTGCTTTGGAGATCATGATGTACTAAGGATTAAACCTAGTCCTCCTCATGCAAAGCATTTACTCAGCCCATTGGGCTATCACTCAAGTCCTAGAGGGTTTTATAAAATTAATCTCTAAGCATAATTTTAAGTTATTTGTATACTTACAATATACAACAAATAATTTATCCTTAATAGAATTCACTTAGGTACTTGGCTACATCAGGGATACCTATATACAAAGTGGTATCCCCAGATGGACTATGTAAATATGAAAATTCTACCTGTAGCCCAGAGGTAAGTTTTTTCTAAGGCCACCTTTTACTTACTTCAGTATAGAACTGTACTACATTTGCAATAGCAGTTTTAGGAATCATCCTGACATTCTCGGGTATACATGGTAATCATCATAGATAAGGTGGGTCAGGTGATGCTTAAGAGCACTGAAAATGGTGAGTAGACTAGAAAACATGCTTTTCTGATCTCATTTGTCCTATCATATAAAAGTAGGTATTATCAACAACAGAACTAATAAACATGAAATGATATTGGGTAATGATGATGTCCATTGGATGAAAATCAGATAGTTTTTCAAAGCATATTAAAGAACTGTATAAGGAATGTGAGAAAAAAATAAGGATAACAGCAGAAACTGATGGTGGGAATGTAGAACATACAATTGGATACTACGTAAGAGAAGACAGAAAGTCTATTATCTTGGAATGCTAGTTAAGATTCTATTATCCATGTTATGCTTTTTTGTTTTCTTTTTGAGTGCAGGTGTTTAATGCAACTGAAATTGCCAAAGTTTGCCCTGGGGCTCACTGTAATTTTGCTTTCTATGGTGGAAAGACCCTGTACCATCAATACATCTCTTCCTTCCATATACTCAATCTGTTTATCTTTCTCTGGCTTATAAACTTTATAATTGCATTGGGCCAGTGTACTCTTGCTGGTAGCTTTGCTACTTATTACTGGACCTTAAAAAAACCTGATGGCATCCCCTCATATCCAGTATTTACTTCATTTGGACGAGCTGTGCGGTAAGTTTCATTTTGACCCCTATACCTACCTTACCAGTTATATTTTAATGTACTTACACAGCATTGTTATGGCTATAATTCAAGTGGCAAGAAAATAATGTCAGAAAGTATGATTCAAGATCCTTGGCAGTCCATTGTCTTAGTCTGGTTTTATAACTACAGTTTTATCACCTTATAAAGTTATGGTATAAAAGAGAAGGTCAAGAGAAGTCAAAATGATAGATTAAGGATGAGTGTGGCTGCCTCTGCTTCATCTTGGTATCATTTTTTGTAGATGAGGGGCAGGGCAAGTTGTATATGGTTTAAAGTCTTTATGAGAAACCTTCACAACCTAAATGGGAATATAAGATCTTTCTTAGAAATTCAGATGCTTTTACTTGTAAAATTACTGTTGCTATTGTTATTTGTTTTTGGACCACACCTGGCAGTACTCAGGAGTTACTCGTGGCTTTGTGTTCAGAGGTCACTCCTAGAAAAGCTTGGGAGACCATGTGGGACCAGTTACTGAACTTGTGTCTCCTTCATGAAAAACATGTGCACAACACCTTGGGCTATCTATCAAGTGTGTTGTTACAATTATTTGACATTTCTTTAGATAATAGTCACTTTCACTGTCACTATCCTCCCGCTGTTCATCGATTTTCTCGAGCGCACCCAGTAACATTGTGAGAGTTTTTGTTACTGTGTTTGGCATATCGAATACGTCACGGGTAGCTTGCCAGGCTTTGCCATGGGGGAAGGATACTCTCAGTAGCTTGATGGGCTCTCCAAGAGGGGCAGAGGCATCGAAGGCAGAGGAATCGAACTCCGGTCGGCCTAGTCAGTCATGGGGCAGGAGCAATAGCACAGTGGGTAGGACATTTCCCTTGTAGATAATAGTAGATAATTTTTATTCTTAACTTATCTTTACCCAGATATCACACAGGATCCCTAGCATTTGGATCTTTAATTCTTGCATCAATTCAGTTCTTTAAAGTTACCTTAGAATACCTGGACACTCAACTTAAAGGTAATATTCCAGAATTTCTGTTTTCTAAATATGTATTTTCTAGACTTCTGTAAAAAGAATAAATAGGGGCATGGTGTTAGGTGAAACAATGACTATAACTTGGACTGGGGTGGCTAAGATAGGTGTTATAAAATAGGGATATATTTTGAAGACAAAAACCATAAAACTTGCTGAGGGGTGTGGATAGGAGGGGTATCAAGAGAAGCAATAGTGAAAAAAAGAATAGAGGAAATGTGTGAGACGCTACTTACCAAGATTTAGAAACAAATTCAAAAAAAGAGATTTAGAGTTGTGTTTTGACATGCTAATACTGAGCTTTGTCAGGCAATTTCAAGCCTAGAGTTAAGTGTAGGTCAAACTGAAAATATAAGCATGAGAGTCAATACACATGCATGCACATAGAGTTCATAGTTAGATAAAGTCTAATTATAACATACTTTAAAATTTATATTATTAATTACAAAAACAGTCTTGAAACAGAAGTTAAAACACATTTCCTGATTTTTTAAGCTTAATAAAAATCTATAGTAAGTATAATAGTGTAGCAATTAATATGACTCAAGAATGAATGTAAAAATAAATTATTTAAGACCACTCAATGAGGAAAGGATATTCTCTTCAACTAACATCATAGGAAAACTGGATCTCTACATCCAAAAGGATGAAATTTAACTTAACTTAAATCATGTACAAAAATTTGTTTCATAATGGATTAAAATCCCAAACATTCACTGTCACTGTCCTCCCATTGTTCATCGATTTGCTCGAGTGGGCCCAGTAATGTCTTCATTGGAGACTTTGTTGTTACTGTGTTTGGCATATTGAATACATCACGGGTAGCTTGCCAGGCTCTGCCGTGTGGGCGAGATACTCTCGATAGCTTGCCGGGCTCTCTGAGAGGGGCAGAGGAATCGAACTCGGGTTGGCCATGTTGGCTGCGTGCAAGGCAAATGCCCTACCCCTGTGCTATAGCTCCAGCCCCACAATCCTAAACACTAAAATGCAAAACCTTAGAATAAAGCATGGAAGGAAATCTTCCTGGCAATGAATTTGATAACAGTTTCTTAGATATGACTCCGTAAGTATAGCGAACAAAAGAAAAAAATATTAAATTAGTGTTCATCAAAATAAATATTCCTCAGAGGATACTATCAAGAGAGAAAAGATACCCCACAAAATGGGAGAAAGTATTTGCAAATTATATGCCACACAAATTCTCATATTTGAAATATATGAAGAATGTCTATAACTCAAACAGAAAATCTGATTTAACAGGGGCAAGGAATATTTGTGATAATGTATTATTTTCAACTTTGAGATATAACTGATAAATAACATTATTACTATATTTATTGTGCAACTTGTTGACTTCTTACACCTATAATGTGAAAGTTTTCCTACACTGAGGATCACCTCACATACTGATTTTTCTTTCTTTTTTTTGTAAGACTATTTAAGTTATATCTTGGAAAACTTGAGCTATACAGTATCTCTTTGTTTTTTGTTTGGGGGATACACCCTGTAGTGCTCAGGGCCCATTCCTAGCTCTGCGCTTCAAGATCACCCTCGGCATAATTCTGGGGACCACATGTGGTGCCAGGTATCAAACCTGGCAGGCAGCATTTAAATGGCAGCAGGTAGGGCTTTTTGTCTTTCATGCCATCAACCTGCATTTGATTCCTGGAATCTTATATAGTCCTCCAAACACCTGGTCAGCCATATGCAAGGCCAGTGCCCTGCCAATTGTCCTGTTGCTCTGTCCCACAATTAGACCTTAACACCTTGCTCATCTTATTGAAAAAAAAAGTCTAGACATTTTTTTCTAGCCTGTCCCTATTTCTCCCTCCCCTTTGCCTATGTCAACTATCATTTCACACTTTTTCTGTTAGCTCATTTTTCATTTTAATTGGTATCTGCAAGTAATGCCATATGTTTTTGTCTATATCAATTATTTCATTCAATTGTGCCTCCTAGGACCAATTTTGCTGTTGTACAAGCCATATTTTCTCCATTTTAAAGACTTGATGATATTCTTTTGTGTATTTTCAGCATATTTTCTTTATTTCTTCACCATAAAATGACTTTTATGTTATAAACAGAATTTCAAAAAAAATGGGAAAGTAGCTATTTCTGAGATAATGGTTTCATTTCCCTTTGCAGTGCAGAAATGGGTCATGCACACAGCACGGCATGAGAGTTCCCTTTTCTCTATATCCCCACCAACACTTGTCATCTCTTGTATTTTTGTTTTGTTTTGTTTTCGTTTTGATTGTAGAAAGCCTAACATGGGGCTGGCTTCTCTGAAAAGTGGAATATCTTACCGGGTACCCTGTTATTGCAACAGTTGAGGGACCGGTGGGGCTCTCCTGGATGCAGCGTGTACTCGGAAAGACACGGGGGGGGGGTGTCACAGAGTGTGCGGCTCTGGGGGTCACTTCCGGGTCAGAAGCCAGAGGGGCTTTTCTCGCTGCCGTACCTGGTACCCACCTGCAGACCTCCTGCTTCTTCCTCTGCACGCCCTGAGCTCTGCTTCCTAGCTCTGAGTCCCGCCTTGGAGAGCGTTTCCCCTGGGGAGTACAGCAGTGGCCCTGTGGACGTGGATGGTGAGACCGCCACGGGGCCCCTGCGGCAAAGGCAAAGCACAGCTGGGGTGATGGAGCCTGGTCACCAGTGGGAAAGGGAGGGTTGCACAGCGTCAGAGAGATGAATTCTTGGCTGTAGTGGATTTTCTGGGGTACTGCTGAGGACTTCTGTTCCCGGTAGTGAAGGTTAGCGGAAGCGGTTAGCAAGGGACAGTGGGTAATGACTGAGATCTTGCAAGGATGAAGAAAAAAAAAATATATATATATACATATATATACACATATATATGCACATATATTTAATTCTTTAAACTATATTTAGGGCTGGAGTGATAGCACAGTGGTAGGGCGTTTTCCTTGCAAGGCTGGCCCGGCCAAGCCAGGGTCGATTCCTCTGCCCCTCTCCGAGAACCTGGCAAGCTACCTAGAGTATCTCTCCCGGCAGGGAAAGCCTCGCAAGCTACCCTTGATGTATGATATGCCAAACACAGTAACAAGTCTCACAATGGAGGCGTTACTCGGCCGCTCCAGCAAATCGATGAACAAGGAGAAGACAATGCTACAGTGCTATTGTTGAGAACATACATATATAAAGTCTTGATTAATTGATCCCCTTATTATTAAATTATGGCCTCTGTGTCTTGCTACACCTTTTTTTTCTGCTTCATGTTATTTTGTCTTATAAAAATATATAGCTACTCCTGATTCAGTTTGGTTTCTATTTATTTTTTAATTTTTATTTGCCTCACTGTGGTTCTCTTAAGTTTAATCTATTTTGGTATTTTTTTTAACTTTCTAGATATGGATGTATTTCCCCATTATTAAGGGTTTTTTTTTCTATTGTCATTGTTTCTTTGCAGAGACTTTCTATCCCTTTCCCGCTGTCTCATTTCTCATCTTAGTTCCTCTTTGATGTATGTGTTAATCTGCTTGAAGATCTTCCATGGTTCTTTAAGCTAATTTCACTTTTTTTCCTTCTTCCTTTTGTCCCACCAAATGAAAGAATTGCACTGCACTGACTTTGAATGTTGATCTTCTCTTCCACTTGCTCTAGTCTTCAGTTGACCGTTTCTGTTGAACTTTTCATTTAGTTGTATTCTTCAGCTCCCTGAACGATGTTTGATATTTTTTTCTTTCTTGAAGTTCTTGCTCCTGTTATGCCTTGCTTCCCTGCTTATTGACAGTATGTTTATCACACCATTTTGAACTCTTATCAGGTTAAACACTTACCTCCATTTCTGGATATTTGTGGTTGCTCTTTTGTTTCTTTTTCTCCCCCCTCACTTATTCTCTATACTTATTTCCATGCACTAGATAATACAATCACCTCTTTTAATTTTGATTGACAGGACTTATGTAAGAGAAAATCTTTGTCAGTTATTCCAATCCAAACTTCTGGGGCTCTCAAACATTTGTTAGCCATGATAGTCATTCTTTCTGGTTCACAGTAGCCAAGAATGTACCGGGATTTGTCAGTATTCCATATAGTGCAACCTGCTTGGAATTCAAACTTTTAGGTAGTATCTGGTAGTGTCTCAGAAACTGAAAGGTGGATATTTTTTGGACCGTTGTCTTCTACTAGAGCCAGGCTATCCAAGTTTAGTGAGGAAAGAGGGCACTGCTGAACTACTTGCAAACTGCTTCTTTGTTTTCTAACAATCTATGGGACTTGTGAATATGTATTCTATGGGCTATCAGATCCAGGTGAAGTGGGGAACCTCCTAAAACAGAAACTGCAAGAACTGGAGTGCCAGACATGGGTACCATTTCCTTCTAGAGAGAAGTTGGTATCCAGGTCTTCTAAGTGGAGTAGAAGAAGGAGACAACAGATGTGTCCTGTGCCTCCCCTTGGCTCCATGGAAGATCTGCAGCTAGTCCCTAAGTGTATACAAATTAGAACTCAACCCTTCAGGAATCAGTTTGTAAAAGAATGCAGTCAGGTTGTTCAGGAAAATATTGGAAAATATTGGAATTTGGAATTTTTTTTAAATGTAGATGTACTCTAAAGGATGCTTGGAAGACCCACTAGGGATGGGAGATCAACAATATCAACAATATCATTTCTAAATATATATTCAAAATAATTGAAAACAAAACTAAAATACTTGCATACCAATATCATGACAGTGTTATTCAAATATCAAAAAGGAGAAGCAACTCATATTTCCATTAATAGAAAAAGGGCTAAACAATGTGATATATATATATTGCAATGTTATTTAGCTCTAAAAACAAACAAAATGATGAACCTTTGAAATTTTTTGCTAAATTAAATAAACAGGACCAAGACTAACAAGGTTAAATATAATATGAGGCAAATTCGTAGAGAGAGTTTATAATTGAAAGTGTCGGGAACTGGAAAAAAGAAAATGGGTTTGTTTTAGTAGATACCAATATTCTGCTTAAAATGAAAAAAAAAATCTGTAACTAAAAGGTATGACTGCACAACATTGTGAATGTATATAATGTTCGTAAACACTTAAATTGGGTAAAAATGGTACTTTACATATATTTCACTGTAATTAAAAAGTGTAAAGCTCGTTAAATTTTTTAAATTATTTTTGATTTGTAAATCATTAATGATTTAAGCATCTTCTCATAGATTCTGAGAACAAAGTTGCTAAATTCCTACAATGCTGTCTGAAATGCTGTTTCTGGTGTTTTGAAAAAGTGGTAAAGTTTTTGAACAGAAATGCCTATATTATGGTAAGTAGATTAATTTTTATCTATTAAGCATTTGCAAACCCAAATACCATGTCTATATTTCTATCTCTAGAACACTTTGACATCATGCAGTTAAATTTGTCACTACAGTGTTATAAGGACTTGTGCATCCAATGTAGTATTGAGGGCTTTTCTTCTTGCTGATAGTATCTTAGCTTAATTAGCACCCTCAATATTTTTGGAGAAGTAAAATTCATGTAACATATAGATTTGAAAATGTGCTATATTAGATTATTTTTTTGTGTATGTCTTGTTCTAATTTGGTGCAAAGAGAGCTTACTCAGTCTATGTTTCACTCTAATAAGGAAATGCCATTTTAGTTCTGGGATTTATACATAAATTACCTTTTTAATTGAATATTATGTTGAAATGTGGACATTGACAATGTCTAACTAAATATATTAAAAGGTAAAGGTAAAGGCCCTCCCGTTGATCATCGATTTGCTCAAGCGGGCCCAGTAACGTCTCCATTGGAGACTTTGTTGTTACTGTGTTTGGCATATGGAATACATCATGGGGAGCTTGCCAGGCTCTGCCGTGCGGTAGCTTGCCGGGCTCTCCAAGAGGGGCGGAGGAATCGAACTCGGGTTGGCCATGTTGGCTGCGTGCAAGGCAAACGCCCTACCGCTGTGCTATGGCGGGAACTAAATATATTACTTGTGTCTTATTGCAACATTGGCACTTCTAAGGGGATTTTTCAAATAGGATATCTAAGAATAATAATATTCTAAATTTTAACCACGACCTTATGACAGTTGTTTATTACCAACATGGTTAGGGTCAAGAATTGTGATTCAGATTACTCAACAATTTACCTCCAGTGAAAATATTACACAGAGCCTTTTAATCACATAGCCTAGTATATTAAGATACATTGAGATTTTTAAGAATTTTTTTTTAATGTGAACACTACAACATTCAACACTTTCAGCAGCAAATTCTAACGAAAAGACTTTAAAGACAGATGTCATATTCTGGGGTTTAGAAAAAGGTCTACCTCCCTCTGAAGTTGTATAACTAATTCTCTTTAAGTCCATGTGACTCACACCTTAAATGTCAATGACCATGAGAGATTTTTGTTGTTTTCAAGGGTTTTTTGTTTGTTTGTTTGTTTGTTTCGGGGGCATATCCAACAGTGCTCAGGACTTAACTCCTGTCTCTGTGCTCAGAGATTACTCCTGATGAAGGTGAAGGAATCACATGGGGTGCTAGGGAGCAAACCCAGGTTGGCTACATGCAAGGCAAGTGCCCTACTTGCTATTACAATGTATTCAGCTCCTGTGACCATAAGAGTTTTGTGGAGTCAAAGACACAAAGTTCCTAGACCTCTCAAACCCAAATGCTAAGATTCAACTGTATGGGTGGCAGAAAATTAATTTTATTTTTTTTATCATTGTATTGATTGTCTTCTGATCTTTTTTCATTCATTCATTCATCATCCTGTTATTTGTCGATTGCCTCGAGCAGGCCCCAGTAACGTCTCTTTCATCCTAGCCCTGAGATTATATTCAAGGCTCTTTAGGAGAATGAGACCCATCATTGTTACTGGTATTTGGCATATTTGGTACGTCACAGGGAGTTTGCCAGACTCTGCCCTGTGGGCAGGCTACATTCGATAGCCTGCAAGTTTGTCCAAAATAGGAATGAGATAATAAGATGTCATAAAAAGATGTTCTGATAAAATGTCACCGGGAGCTGGATTTTATAGTCTCTGAGTCTTGGCTGTTGATGGGATTACTTCTGATCTTATGTAGGTTTATTACTGACTCCAGAATAATTCCATTATTTCTCTAGATTGCAATATATGGCAAAAACTTCTGCAAGTCAGCAAGAGATGCTTTCAATCTATTAATGAGAAATGCTGTTAAGTAAGTAATCAGTTGCACATTACAGTAGATAATTTGTTGAACCTTGAACATTATATATCACATGCTATTATTCAAAGGTTTTTTGGACATATGAGATATATATATTATATTTTGAGTTGAAATATTTAAATCTTTTCTCATACCATTAAATTCCCCCCATCTTCATTGAGCTACAGTGATTTAGCATACTATTGATAGTTTCATACATACATTTTTTTCCCACACTATACCTACTACCAGAGTGCCAGTTTCCTTCACCAGTGTCCCTCTTCCATCCACTCCAAGTCCCTGCCCAGGTAAAGTCAGTTCTGTAAACTAAGTCTCCAGTTTCCTGTCTTTAGCCATTATTAAACCTTTATTGTGTATCATCATATTCCACACATGAGAGAGATCATTCTGTTACTATCCCTTTCCTTCTGACTGACTTTACTTGTCATGATACCTTCTCATTCCTTCCATTTATCAGCACACTGCATGATTTCATTATTAATCACTGCATAGCATTTCATTGTGTATATATACTCCAACTTCTTTATCCATTCACCTGTAGTTGGACATTAGGTTTGTTTCTATATTCTATACCTATTATAGAAAATATATATTGTTTCTATATTAAGCAATTCAAAAAACATTATCCTTTCAAATTAATGTTTTTGAATTTGTGGGGTTAGGTGTTATAAATTGGAATACTGGGTCATATGGGAGTTTTAATCTTACTTGTTTGAGAAATCTCCGCACTATTTTCCATACAGGTTGAACTGGACAACATTCTCACCAACAGTGAATGAGGGTTCCTTTCTTATCACATCCCTCCCAATACTGGTTTTTTCAAGACTCTTTATATATGCCATTAGAACTGTAACAACATTAATTTTTCAAGTTTTAAGAAAATTTCTTCCATCATCTACTTATGCCTTTATACCCAATGGCATTTATTCCTTTTCATTCTTTCTTAAGAAATTCCCAACATGTATTTTATAATCATATTTTTATTTCCTACCTTTTCAATAATGATAAATCCTGAATGTAAAAAATCATGAGTACAAAATCAAGCAAACAAATGAAAAATCCTCAGGATTTGGGTGTGCATTAAAAACTCAAAAAAGAAACACTAACACAACCTTATAGTATCTAACAAGCCTGCAATGCCATCTTCTGTTTATTTTATTAAAAATAAGTCAGAACTTCAGACCTTGGTCCTGCTCTCATTTCTTGTGTTTAATAAATGACAAATAAAATTTCAGTTAAAACACATCAAAATGATCTCATAAATATTTCCTAACAAATAGCCAAAAGCAAAGTATCTATAAGCTGATCTACAGAACTGAGCTTACCATGGTAGGGAGGTGGTGAGGTTGTTGGAAAGAAGTTTGAGAGGGAGCCTGGAAGCTAATGGTGGAGGAAAACAGTAGTCTGGTAGGGGATATGATGTTGGAATGCTCATACATGAAAACCTACCATTGACAGGACTGTAGACCATGTTGTGTAAAACCAAAAAAAAAAAATTAATAAAAGATAAAGAACTGGAATGACAGCAAAATAGGTATGGTGTTTGACTTGCATGTAGTTGACCCAGATTTGATTTCTATCACCCACCCCATATGGTATCCCAAACCTGCCTGGAGTAAGCCCCCAGAACAGCCAGGTGTGACCCCAAACTTTTTTAATTAAAAAGAAAAATTACTTATTCTTCAAACCAAGTTATAAAAGTACTATGAACATAAAATTATAGTTGTTTTTCTTTATTTAGAGTTGCGGTTATGGATCAAATCACAGACTTTATACTACTTCTGGGGAAACTTCTAGTTGCTGGGTGTGTAGGTAAGTAATAATAAAAATGATAAAAAGTTTAAAATGTACTTAATAAAAATTATAAAAAGCTCTAATCCTGTGAAAATTCATAATATATATGTTTTCCCTTTTCAAAATAGGGGTTCTCGCCTTCTTACTCTTCACACAAAAACTCTCAGTGATTATAGAAGGACCGACATCTCTAAATTACTACTGGGTACCTTTACTGGTAAGAGCTGTGGTCTTAGTTAGTTTGTACTACCTTAACAAAAAATGCCATAGAAAGGCAGCTTTAAATACAGGCATTGATTTCTCAGTTCTGAAGCCTAAAAAGTTAGAGATTAAGGTGCTCATGGATTTAATTCCTGGCAAGGGCTCATTTTGGTTTGCAGAAGGAAGCCTTGTTTCCTTATACAGTAAAGAAAGATATAATCTCTCCATTTTTTTAATATATAAGAACACCTTTATTCCCTAATTACTTTCCAAATGTGCCACCTCAAATATCATCAGTTTGGGGTTAATGTTTCAACATAAACATTTTGTGGCCACACAACTTAGCATTTGAATAATATTGTCTGTGAGTTATCAGGGATGACAATAAAAAGAAAGGATTGAGAGAAATCGTGATAACAACCTTTATTTAACAAGCCCCATCATTCCTTGGAAATAAGTGGAGATGGAGGATTGCATGTAGGTTTATTAGGAAGTATTCTCATGACCACGCAACACATCATAAGACTCTTAATACCCATCTTCCAAGATTACTGCACAATATTTGATAGGGTTCAAATATGGTTTGAACCATGGACACACCTGCAAGGGCAATTAGAGGCTGCCCTAAAAGCCTCGATCCCTCTTGGAGAGCCTGGCAAGCTACCGAGAGTATACCACCCTCACTTAGAGCCTGGCAAGCTATCTGTGGTGTATTTTTTATGCTAAAACCAGTAAATATAATGGGTATCATTCCCCTGGCCCAGAAAGAGCCACCAATACGGCAGCATTAAGAAGGATGAGCAAGGAGAAGCGGATAAAATCTCATGGCATACTAAGCTGCCACAAAGAAAAAGGACAAAAATGACTGTCAGTACTTTCAATGCACGTACGCTGGCATCGGATGTATCCATAGCGCAAAAGATCAAGTATGACATCATTGGTCTGACCGAAATGAGAAGGCATCAATCACATCACGCCATTTTCGACACTGGAGAACTGTTCCATGGAACATGCGACAAAAGAGGCATTGGCGGTGTTGGTGTCCTTATCAGCACGAATTTGGCCATGAGCATTGATTCATTTGAATGCCTAACAAACTGAATTGGATGATTACACTTGAATAGATGTGGCTCACTGCCAGCAGTTTCTATCTTCATTGTCTATACACCAACATCCAATTATGATGAAGGAGAAATTGAGAAGTTCTACATGGGAAGTTCTATAAAGAAGACCACACCTTCTACAAGATCATTTTCGCTGATTTTAATGCCAAGATAGGACTGAGAAGATCAGCCAAAGAACTCATATAGGGACTCGTGGCCTAGACTGGAACGAACAGGGTGAGAAACTGTCTGAGTTCATCACGTTGACCAAGACCATCCATGGTAACTCACAGTTCCCAGAAGGCTGATCTAAATGTTAGACCTGGGAGTCTCCCGGTGGATGGTACCACAACAAAATTGACCACATCATATTCAATTGACAGTTTTGCCTGACCGATGTTGCTGTTGCCCCAAAATTGCAAACGGGATCAGACCACCATCTTTTTTGTGAAAAATTCTACTTCATGGAGCAGGGAAAAAGGGCTGCAAAGTTTAAGAAGAGAACTCCCAGAACAACCACCAACTGGAAGCTCTTTGGCACTATTGGGGCAACATGGGAAGATGCCGTTGTTGACAACGTTGACGAGGAATACGATCGACTGTTTCAGCACCTCCATGATTGTGTGAGGAACGCCGAGAGAGATAACCACAAGAAAATGCCTGTTTTCGAAAACTCTCGAGCTCATTAGCTAACGTGGCTCAGGCAACTGCAAGTAAATGTTCGAGCTCGCAAAGCAATGCAGAGATGTGATAAAGAAAGATCTCAAAGAGAGAAGAGCAGCAGTGCTGATAGATGTGGCAGAAGCTGGAAAAAGCATTTGCAATGCCAGCCTATCCTTCGCCAAATACAAGACCAAGATGACTGCCTTCCAATGTCCTGATGGATCTATCACATCTTCCAGAAGGGCATAGGAGAAGATTATCCATGACTTCTACTCAGATCTCTTCTATAGTCACATCAACCTGCCCACATACCAAATTCTGCAGGATGGATATGTCGTTCCCAAAGTTCTCCCTTCCGAAATCCAACATGCCATTTAGTCGGTAAAGAAGCAAACAGCACCCAGCTCAGACAAGGTCAAACCTGAACACCTAAAAAAACTGACGTCAATACTCATCAATACACTGGCTCGGCTCTTCACACACTACCTGTCTGAATGCAAGGTTCCATCCCAGTGGAAAACCAGCAGGACTGTACTACTGTAAAAGAAGGGAGACATCCATGACATTGGCAACTATCACCCGATCTGTTATCTGTCATCTACAAGCTGTTCACTCGAGTCATCCTGAATAGGATTGGCCGAACACTAGATGAAGGACAACCATGCAAGCAAGCTGGGTTCTGAAAAGGATTCAGCATGATCGACCATATCCACATGGTAACCAAGCTCATTGAGGTTTCTCGGGAGTTCAAGATGTTGCTCTGTCTAATATTCATTGATTTAAAGAAGGCCTTTGATTCTGTTGAGACTGAATGATGTAGTATCATTGGACGACTGGAATGAGAAGGGATGGGAGTGAAGATAGACGGTCAGCAACTACACTACTTCCGCTTCACTGATGACATTGTTCTAATAACACCAAACTTTAGCCAACTAGTACAAATGCTGGCCGACTTCGACCATGAGTGTGGAAAGGTTGGACTACAGCTGAATCTCACGAAAACAATATTTATGAGAAATGGTCTTGTTCCTGACTTTCCATTCGCTCTCAATGGAATGAACATCTTCGAATACAACAGTTATGTATACCTAGGTCAAGAAGTCAACATGACTAATGACCTGGCACCTGAGTTGCTCAGGAGGAAGAGAGCGGCTTGGAATGCTGTCAAGAGCATTGAAGAAATAGCTAAGAGGACGAAGACCTCCAGCTCTGGGCACATCTCTTTGATTCCACTGTTCTTCCTGCATTAACATACGCCTCAGAGACCTCGGCCCTACGAAAACAGGATGAGAATACTATTTAGGTCTCCCAAAGAGGAATTGAAAAAGCTAGGCTTGGAGTATCATGCTTCACTCAAAAGAGAGAAAGAATCCAGAGTTCCAACCTCCGTCGACAATCAAGAATCAGGAACACTGTCTCGTTTGCCAAGGCATCAAAAATCAGATGGGCTGGATAGATAATGAAATTTGGAGATGACACCTTGGACTAGAGCCTTTACTGAGTGGATTCCATGGGATTTCAAAAGATTGCGTGGCCACCCACCTATGAGATGGTCAGACTTCTTCCTCAAAACCCTGATTGATCGGTTTGAGGCGCTTCATGTTCCTAGAACGAGCAGATGCCATTGGGCTACACTAGCACGCAACAGGGACGAATGAGATGTTACTGGCATCCACTCGAGCAAATCAGTGAGTAATGGGATGTCAAATGATCAAGTGATTCTTGTGACATACATTTGTAAGGTAAAGCTAGAGGAAGGTAATCCTGAGAAAAGAAAGAAGCTTACCCACATGGTAATCACAGCTCAAGCCTCAGACGTGGTTGCTGGAAGTACTGGCAAAAGGATTCAGCATTTGTATGCTGTCCAAGGCAGCTTTTAGCCAGGAGTTGCCCCCAAATCAGAGCTAGTTCCCTGTGAGTAGCATAGTTCCAGTTCCTACTGAAGGAAGAAATTGAGTTATCAGCAGAATACATTCCCAGAAATGTAGGAATAGATGTAGCATCTGTGGAGGATCTGGTTAGAGCCCTGAAGTATTTACTACAGCACATTAGTTCATTTAATCCAGTGTCAGAAGCCTTATTATTATGCAGATGTCCCCTCCCACACCAAAAATCTTTACATATCGGCGGAGGCCCAGAGAGGTTAAGTAACTTAAGTGAGAGCCTGAAATTGATTCAAACTTGGGCAATTATGTGTGCACTTAACTCCTTGGATTTACTCTCTGTCTGCAGAATCCTCGATCTGTCATATTTTGTACAATTTAGGGATATCAGTAAGAAAATTGGCAGGTAGCTGGTATTTTATTTAAATCTAATTTCAAAGTTCTTAAAATGACTATCATTGATTTTTATCTCATATTGAAATTTTTCTAACACAATAACTCAGAGCTTTTTAATTATGATTTTCATTTAAAGTTGTATTATTATTATTCTGGACTTCCTCATTCTCTCCTTTTCTCTTTTACAGACAGTTATTATTGGATCTTACCTAATTGCACACGGATTCTTCAGTGTCTATATAATGTGTATTGAAACAATTTTCATCTGCTTCTGTAAGTTGTCAGTATGTGCATTTTTCTTCTTTGGTAGAGAACTGAAAAGGTATAGCTCCACATCTTATGATTGTTTTTTAATTTGCTTGGCTGCAAAAGCAAAAAGTGGTGCTTCTTTAGAAAGAGATATTGCTTAGTAGATGCTCTTTATACCGTAACAACTCAGAGGACAAGAGTTTGACAAAGTACAGGAAAGTCAGCTACTGAAGTACACCTCAGGTTACATGGCATGTTGCTAACGTGAAATTAATTTTCATTTCTGAATGTTTTAAAATGTATGAAAATTATTAACTCATAACTCTATCATGGAATTTTTTTCTGGAGGGGGGCAGACCTAAAGACACAACCTAGTTTTGAAACTGAGCTTTGGAACTCTTCGAGTTGGGCCTTTATAAAGTCTGCTAGACCATTCTAATAGTTTCAAAGATACCTTATGCCAACAAACACTAAGAAATCCAGTGGGGGCAAAAGGTAGAATTCATAGGGGATAATGTTTAGAAAATGGCTGGGTAATTCTGATACTTTGAATTAAATCATGTTTTTGGTATTATCTTCACTAACTTAGACATGGTGTCTCTATGTAGCATATGTAAGTCACATACATAGAATAGTTGTATTTTCTTTCAGTACCTTATCTTAAAAGTCCCAAGAACCTGCTTCCCAACAGGAGCTGGATCTATCTTGCATGCAACCTAGGGAAAGTAGGTCAGCAGATGAAATAACAGAACATATTCACCCTATAGCTACACCTCCTAAAAGATTATTTCTCGGGACTTCCTGCTTTAAGAAAAGCAGAGAAAACATTTCATGACAGGGAATTTCTAAGTGATTCTTATACAAACCTTGTATAAAACTGTCTTATTTGGGGCCAAAATGATAGTACAGTGGGTAGGACACTTGCCTTGCACGTGGCTGTTTCTGGGTTCATCCCAGTGTCACATATAGTCCCTTGAGTCTACTAGGAATGATTCACAAGTGCAGAACCAGGAATAATTTCTGAGCACCGCTGCATGTGGCACATAAACAACAACAAAAACAACAACAACAGAGCTGTCTTATTTTTTAGCCAAACCCACTGCACCAACTACATGTTGGTATCAGAAAAAGAAATAACTATAGTAGCTATATTTAGAGAAAACCCTTCTAGAAAATGGTTTCCTTGTTTTATTTTTGTTAACATTTTAAATATCAACTTTCATTAAATAGACAAATCATGAGACTTCAGTGCACTAGTTATTCTTCCTTTAACTGTTAATACATCAGAAAGGTTTGGTCTTTTTGTACTGCCTTGGTGATTTGGTAGAAAAATCCACTAATAAAATGCCCATGAACAAGGTCTTGTCAAATATAAGAGGGAATAGGGAGTGTGGGGGTGAGATAGTACCTAAAGACAAACCTGGCAAATGTTCAAAGGTCTCAAATGCTAACCATGATAGCAATTTCAGTAATATGTCCCCTGTTTCTGTAACTAAAATTATTTCTTAAAATATATTCAGAAAATATCTATAAATCTACTAGTTTCTAGTCTTCAGAAGTTTTGGCAAATCTTTTGAATTTGAAATCTGACAGTGGATTTTAAACATGTTTTACACTGTTGCATTAATCAGATATTATCAACTGTTAAGTTATTGAAAATCAGAGGTACTTCCCACTTTATTCAATGTATCAGTGGTTTTCAACCTCTTACACCTGCCCACTGGTATCTGTCTGTGGATAGGTGGCTGAAAACCATTACAATGCATCGTATGCTGTACAGTAACAGTTTCCTTTCAGAGATACTTATTCTTAATAATAAACAGTAATGAAGAAGTGCTCTCTTTGTATCCAAAGGCCCAAGTTCAATCTCTGGCATTGCATGTGGACCCTGAGCATCAACAGGAACACCCCTAAGTACCACTGGGTGGGTCCTACATCCCCCAAATGAAGGGGAATAAGGGGAATAAATAAAATACTCTCTTATCCTATATTCCTTCTCTAGATGTTAGTAAAGAAAGCATCTTATTTTGGAAAGCCTTCTTTGTAAATGATAATCAAAACTACATTCTATTGTGCACACACATCAATATTCACACAGTTTTTTGTACCTATTATCTTGGCTATGCCAGATCTATACCATTTGTATATTTATACCAATTATCTTGGCTATGCCAGAAGATCATTGATAAATACTTCATTAATTGATACATAGCATCCTTTGAGCCACACACAATGGTGTTAATGGGCTACTCTCCAATCAGCCTCAGGAGATAATAGAAGTAGTGCTCAGAACACTACACGGTACCAGTGATCAAACCCAGGCATTCTACATACAAAACCTGTGTTCAGCCTGTTGAGCTCTTTCCCTGGCTCTGCATCTTTTGAACATTAGAAGATACTGAGAATTCTGGTCATAAGTAAGTTAAGAAAAATAATTGTGGTACACAGTTTTAATATAATCAATATCAGACTTCCTATCAAAATTTCAAGGAGATAGATATGTGATATATAATATAGAAATATGATTATGGAAGAAAGGATGAATATGATCTGTGTCTATCATGTTCTCCTCTTAACTTTTTATTTTGTTTATAAAGGCCATTTGGAGGACTAGTGTAAAAATCTACTGAACCAATAATCGACCATACTCAAGATTCTGGTGAAAAATAGTTTCGATTTCGTCCATGAATCTATGATTATCTTATCCTAAAACCCATATTATATGGTTTTATATAATATGTCATCTACTTTATATATGCTATAAGAAATAAGGGCTACAAATAATATTTAATAATATTTTAGTGAAACACAGGATTACTTTTTATTTCTTTATTTCTTGATAGACATTGCTACTTTGAATTCTGTGTGCCTGCATAAAACTTCAAAGTTCCCCTTGCTTATCACCATTATGGTATTTCCTCCAACCGTCCATCAAGTGTGTACTAAATGAAACCTCATACTATTAGCCTACACATCATACTATTAGCCTATACAAAGTGGGATTATAAATTCATGTATTAGAGAAGTCAGAAAATATGATATTAGCTTTCAAGTATAATGTTATTTTGTTGGAAAAGATTTGGGAATAGACACGATATATTTCAGTAAGACAAGAACTAAACTAAGCTTCAAGAGGCTGACTTACCACCTCAGTCTGATTGCCCCAAAGTGTTTTGACTTCAGGAGAATCATTTTTCTATCTCTGGCTTCAGTTTATTCTTCTGTAACACTAAAGTGTGAATTGCCATTAAAACCGACTTTGAACACTGAAATTCAAAGATTATTCTGCATTTAATACAGGATTAATTATATTTGTATCCAGTTTCAATTCAGAGGACGTGGTAATTTGGCTTTCTGAAAAGAAGAGCTGCCGAAATTAAAGATAAGGTTTTTTTTTTAATGATGTGTGAGATTGTATTCATTTTAAACTAAGAAAATAAACTCCTGAGAGTGGGTGGGATTTAGGAAATTTCAGTTCTTCATGACCAAAGTTGAAATTCTTATTTTGTCCAGCATCAGCAACTTAATTGCACTACTTTGTCTTATATTTGACTTTCTAACACTGTTTTCTCTGATTTTTCCCTGTTCAACCCTCCAATTTGTCAAAATTACATGTAATTATTATGCTGCTACTTGCTGCTTTTGCCTGCTTGGGCTGCCGGCTGCATATACAGGTGAAGATCTGGAAAAAAATGATGGATCTACAGAAAAACCCTACTTCATAACCCCTATCCTGCATGGAATTCTGAACAAGAAGCAACTAGTTCCCCAGAAGCAGAAAAAGTAGAAAAGCACCAATCAGTGCCACTCATTTTAAGTGAAGTTGTACAAATTAGGCTTTCTGTCATTTGAAAGTGATCCTTTTTATTAATGTGAAATTTCTTTGGTGATTTCAAAGCAGGGCAAACCTGGCATTATCTGAGATGCCAGACATTTGCTGACAGTTGTAGCCTTTGTGAACTTGGATACTTTATAGACTATTGTCCAGATGAAGAGTGAGATGTATATGTCAGCACATTTTATAAAGTCTATAGCCAAAAGTGTTTTAATAACTTTTATAACTTGGCATGCTGTTTCCCATTACAGCACTTTGATAGACTTACTTTATATAGATGTATATTGCAAAGGATATTCAGGAATTTTTTAAAACACTATAAATGTAGAATTAGTTAATCATAAAAATAATCTATAGTTTACCGGCATATGGTACTAAATTTGTAAATAATGGTGCTATGATTATATTGATATTGTTCAAACTAATGGAAAACTCTCTAAACTGTGATAAACTTGTATTAATGGTACCCTAGGAAGTATATTTCAGTAAGTTACTCAAGTCTGAAGTCTGTAACACATATAGAGCTATATGTAGGTTGCTTCGAGAGCATTACTAGGTAAAACCTTGAACCTTCAGAACCCATTTTGCTTTAGTGAAGATATATTTATTGTGAAGTTGAATCTGAGTGCTGCAATGTCAGTTTCAATAATACAAACCTCTGACCAGGGTGAAAATACTCAGTGGGGGTAGGAGGAGGTACTAAAAACAAAAAAGGAACACCTGAACTGGCCACAAAACTCATGGCTCTGTCTCTGACCCAAATTAAAGTAGATTACTATTTTACTGACCTACCATTTTGAAGGTCAGTAAGGATTTGTTTGAGAACACTGATGGTATCTTTTCATAAGCATACCTATTTTTCTAGATTGAATAGATTGCATAGCTTTGTTCTGGAAAAGGTTCAATTTCCTCAACTTTCAATGAAGAAAGAGAAAAGAATTAGTAAAACACTTAAGGTGTTACCCTAAGGAAATAGACTATTAACCCTTCATTGTAACCTTATCTGGTACCTGTAGGGGTTGGGGAGAGGGGAAGGGGACAATTCTTTAAGGTAGGAAATCCTCCCTCAAGGGTATAAAGGGGACAGTTATTACCATACTCCAATATGCTGGTCTGGGCAAAGAGCTGCTTTCTGCAACCTTGACTTAAGTCTTCTCTGTGGCAGGACAAACCCTGAATTAGAGTGTGGAAATACATATTATAGGGCTAAATGTAAAAGTGTATTTCCTAAAGATCACTCAACTTATACCCTTTTGGATTTTATATTGAGCTTATGGGTAAGAATTATTTATGTACTGACAGAAAAGAACTTGTTGATCTAACATTTTGATCTGAAATGATCCATGCATCCCAGAAAAGTCTGAAATGTGAGTTTGTGGTATATATTAATATCAATACTTATTTTGTCATCCTGAAATGTGAAAATCTACATTTTAGATGGATTTACATCGGTTTAATAGCAAGAAGTCAATGAATAGGGGAGATTATTTAAATATTGCCTTTCATAACAGCCATCTTCTTGTCCTTGCTTTACATTTCGAGACTTACATAATGAAAACATCACTTGGTTTCACCACTTGGCAAGGAACCTTCTTCACTCTCATTCTCTGGAGAATATTTCAGAGAAGGGTAATAATTTGGCTTCTAGATGGTTATAATTATTATATTATTTAATAACATAGGAGTTACCACAAACTATAGTTAAACAATTACCTCTATCCTAAGGGTTCAAAATTATAAGAAATAAATTACATTTGGAAGAACTAAAAAATTCATAATGAGAAAACTCATTCAAATTTTTATTGTGTCAGGATCACACTCTGAGAACTTGTTATAAATATAGGTACCTATACTCACCATTTTCACCTCTGTCCAGCTCTTCAGATATACTGTGTTTGTTAGGGGAAGTTTGTTAATTATTATAAATTTTCCTAGCAGATTTTGATATGCATGAAATTTGAAAAATCACTCAAGAATATAAATTGACAGATGAAAAACTAATTCTTTATTTTCTCTGTTGATTCTTGGCATTTCTAGGAATAATGAAATTGTGAAAGATAAAGTAAATAAATTTGGAGTTAAAGAAGATTATTTATAATTATGATAACTTCTTATATGTCTTAAGTTCTTGCTGTTATATGGGGCTCATGTTCAGTATGTTAAAAGTTTAGAATGTCTGCTGATTTGACCATTGAACTATGTGGAGGAACATTCTTAACTTGATAATATATTGAAGTGTATAATATTTAAGTACAGAATCCCAGAAAAAGAAATTCAACTGGTTCAATATTTCTTAATAATTGAACATTTATAGTAATAATATCTCTCTATGTAAGTTGTAAGTATAATATGGATTAACTAGACTATAACTTATATACTAAAAATCCACAGACTGCAAGTTTTGAGAAATGTTTTCACAGTTATACATTTAATTGCTTTAAGAAAATAGCTTCTAAACTTTTTTCTCAAAAAATGCTAATTTTTGCCATATATTTCTTTCTATATCTCTCAAGCAGTAATATTGGAAAATATTTTTGATTAGAAAATTTTGCCCTAACCCATTATATAGTTAAAACTTCTGTATATAAATATTCTTCCTATAAGTGTTAATCTATTAGGAAACATTGAACCATGGTTTAACTATAACATAGAAGATGAATTTAGAAATTGCTGGTAAATCTTTGGAGTGGCATAGTGTTCGTAATTGCTTGCTTTCCACAGAAAGGTCAGAGTTATTTCCCCGATCAGACAGCTAAGAGACATGTGCTATTGCAGAATCTGACCTGGTGCATTTGATGAAATCATGTTTTTGACATAATAACAAGGGCTAATTGTTTTTCTCATCGTCTATCTTTACAATAGTGTTGATGCCACAGTATGATGTTATAAAACAGTGTATCAAAACATTTGAAAGTGCTGTAAAGCAAGTATGCAGCAGATGGCGATGTTACTTCTCTTACAATCTTGCTTTGATATTTACTTTGTGTCGTTCTTCCTCCTAGTGGAAGATTTAGAAAGAAATGATGGTACTGCTGAAAGACCCTATTACACGAATCAGAGTCTGATGAAGATTTTGAAGGAGGAAAGAGCACAAAATAAGAAGCAGTAGAATTGCAAATTCACCATCCTGCACCGGTGTTACCTTTCCTCATCAGCTGATCTGTGCTACACTCCTTTCATAAGTGCTCTGTGTTTGAAACACTGTATTCATGACCTTGTTGGCTTTTATTTGCATGTTTTATACCAAAGCTTATATTGTATTATGTGAAGCCATCAGAAGTCGCAAGGGAATTGTTAATAACATGGAACATTTTTATACTAAGATCTTTTGTTTTGTAGTTCATTTTTAAGTAGAGTGGGCTTGGATGTTTTGAAGATACTAGTGAGTATGTCAGTATTCTTTTAAGAATTACATGGAAAAAGGATGTGTTATTAAAATTGATAGCTCCTACTATATTTTTAAAATTACAACTGAAAGACTTCTGCAGGGAACAATGATAAACAAAGTGAAATAGAAAATTTTTTAAGTTTTCTCACTGCTTGACAATAAATCAGTAAAAGGACCCCCCAGAGCAGATTTTACTTTCTTCAAGTATAGAATGTTTCCTATTAAACAAATTGCCAATCATCCAGCCTTTACTACTTCGTCCTCTCTGACAAAGTGCCTTACTGGCTGTTTAATGTTACCCAGCTTTTGCGGGCAAGTTTACAAACACAGTTTAAAAACAAAACAAAAAGAAAAAAAAAACCTGCAATGTTTAGTAATTAAAACAAGTCTTCTTGCTTTTGTTTTCCTCTCAGCTCACTGGTTTGAAACTTTTTGTCATTTTAGTACTTTGACATCCTCACTAGATAGAAGTATGCTTTTTAGCATAAACAATTTCCCTTGCGCCTAGTGGACATTTGTGAATGTGTACTACACGCAAGAAAAAAAAAAGCCTGAAAAGACACTTGTTGGGTTTGTGTTTTTACTAAGTGCAACAAGTTAAAAACCTTTTCTATAGTAGATCTTTGAAAAAATAGAACTACATTTCTCAGTGTTTTATACATTTGGAAAGGAAAGCTTCCAGAAATCAAAAAGGGAAACTTTAACCCTTAAAAGGTTGCCCATAGATGTCATGTACTCAGTAGGTCTGTTTGAAATTATTATCGTCAAGTATTCTGTGTTATATTATTTTATTTTCTAACTTTTGATATGAAATAGTCATTTTACTTACAACATGATTTTCTATTGTGTCAATATAAACAGGAACACAATTTCTAGTTCAGCTTTAACTAATTTTACTAGTTCTATTAACTTTAAAGAAAATGAATTCAATTTGTTACTCTGTATTACAGAATGATCATAAAGCATTCACCCCAAGAGAGTATCAGTTAATGATAATTTGTGAAAGCTTTGGAGTGATAAGTTACTATCAATTAACCTATTATCACATTTGTTTAAATGTGACTTTAGATATCCTTTTATGCCAAAAACAACCTCTTATGAGCAGTGACCCAGAACTCTATCATCAGTGTGCTTTTCTGCTGTGCAGAAATCTTAGGAACATATTGTCTAAATATCTTTGGTAATGAAACTGTTTAATATTTAATGAAATTTGTTGTTACTCATTGTTTTAAATCGATATGGTTTTTTTCTTCTAATAAAAATTTCAGTAAGAAAAAACTGCCATTTTATTTCTTTAACTGGGGAACTAAATGTAATTATACAAATGTTGATTTATAATGGTGCATAAGAACACAATTTTAGTTCAGTAACATTTTTTTAAAAGGTAGAAAAAGAGAAAAGCATTTGATTTTGAAGCCAAACAAATCATGAGAGGATATCCTCTGAACCAAGTATCTCAGGTTTTTTTTTTTCTTAACAGCTAAATTTATCTTTAAAGCGTTTTTTTAAATTTTCTCTCGCTATGCGCTTACTGCAGAAATAACTCAAACTGAGGATTTATGCAAAGTAAATAAGTCAAAACTAGATGAAGAAGAGATAAATTTTGTGAAGCCCGAACAACGGCGTGAATTTATTAGCTTGTCTTTATAAAAAATTTGCTCAATTCCTCATTTACCTTTGTCAGCTCTCACAAGAAACAAGTTTCATCATTTTATTTATTTTGTTTTGTTTTGTTTTCAAGCCACATCTGGAAGTCCTGGCTCTGTGCTCTGGGGGACACTTGTTGAGGACAGGGGTGTGGAGTGGGGGGTATGTGGTGCCAAACATCCCAGGGCTCCTGATCATGCGTTCCAACCCTCAGAACCATCTCTCTACAAGTTTCACCCTTTAAAGACAGGGATAAATTTAAAAACTATGAACACTGATTAATAAATAGTTTTCCAAGATAAAACAACTTCACCTAATCTAAACTTGAAATTTTTCTTAAATTCTTTTATCCCTTAACAAATTTGTAAATTATTTTTACCTATATAGAACTGTTAAATCTTTAAAATAATTTTTCTTTAAAATGTATTTAATGACTTTCAATGAAAACATAAAACAAAATTACCAGATTTTATGGTTCTTGTTAAGTGTTCTAAATCTAATGAAATAGTTGCTTCAATAGGTAATGGTCCTTTTGTTCATAACATTAATTTTTGGCTCCGAGAAAAAAATTAAAATCTGCTTTAGATCTTAATATCTTCTTTTAAATGATAAAGCACTATTTTAACAGTAATAATTTATTTTAAATTGGATTATGATTGATTTGATTTTTTTATGTGCCAGAATGTTTAAAAAGCATCCTTGAATTTGTGTAAGCTCACCCTATTGAATATCTGTAGGTTCCTAATGCAATTATTGTTAAATTAACATTGCAAGCATACTCCATGCAACAATTTCGTATTTTTCTTTAATCCATAGCTGACTAGCACTCATTTCATTGTATGTTCTTTCACTTTTACAAGTGGTTCCTCAGGAAATTGCTTTTAAATTCCAACCAGACAGAGTAATTATCTCTAGTATTATCTTGTCTGGACTGGACACGTGCACTACAAATTAGTCTTTGTTGTCATAATATATGCTGGTATTATTGAACTAAAATCATTATTACAATCCATAGTATAGAAAATGGTGTCTACTTTTTTTCCATTCTCTTGCAAATACTATCAGTTGTTTGTAAATGTTCAAATATACTTGTATGGTTAAAATTATATAATCACTAATGACAAGAAGCATCTTAACAATATATCAGGAATAACTTCTCCAAATGCATTTTCCATATATAATTTTGGGGGTTGAGTCTTCAGAACCAAGCTGAGTTACTTCTGGTCCTCAGTGAATCTATCATCATTTAGAAAAAGCCAGCCTGCAATAAAACAAATGTGAATTAATTTATGAGAACTGAGCCCCATTTTATGCAAGACACCTATCGGGATAATGTTTCAGTCATTCACCCTCTTAAAATTTATCAGGCCAAACTGAACTACCCCCTCTTCCACTTATGACTCTCCAATTGCTTGGAAAGAAAGGTAGCCAAACAATTTAGAGTCAAAACTTTATTTCCCCCACCCCTTCTTTCTCCCATCCTTCTTTTTGTTATATCTTTCCTAATAGTTTCTGTTCTGAAAAAAATGACATACATTCAAAGTAATCAATTCAATTTTATTATTTGACATCATTGGCTTTTTAATATTTTTTTCTGACTCCTTTACTTTTTTTCCAGGTTTTTTTTTGTCTACTGTATGAATACAGATCATCTAAGAGAGTAAACAGTCCAATTGTATTGAGAAACTAATATGTCTTTGAATTACTGGCCCCAAAAGATAGATGTCTTCATATTCTGTCCTTCTCTTCAAGAGCATACTGTGTTAACAAGGTTTGAAGAAATGTTTCAAACATAAAGGTGTTTTCATTTAGCTTATAAATAAATGAACTTAGACTTGATTTATTGTGATATTAATTTTAGATTGTGTATTCTTCTAGTCAGATGAATTTTTACTGTTGTATGTATACATTGTATGCTGTACACAGAAAGCAGAAAATGGAGGTAAGATGAGTATTCAAGAAGAGATCAGGGATAATTAATAAGGAAATATAAAAATATTTTAATGATCTAATGGGATCCAAAAGAGTAATGTTACAGAAAGTGGGGTCCCTTCTGAATACCATCTCTAAATTTACTGATAGAAGAAACTCTACAGCAAGTTACAATCTATTTATTCAACAAGTAAAAATAATATTTTCAGTATTCTGATAGTGTTGAAAATATGTTTTATTGCAAAATAAAACTAATCACATAACTATATTTAGTCCAAACTGAAAAGAGAATAATATTCAACTGGAACAAACAATTTAAAGTCAAAAAATATATTTTTTTAAACATAATACACGATTAAGGCATAAAAATATCTGCTTGTTTTTCTAGTTTCACATGTTAGCAGAAGCTTTGCTATCATGATGAGCTGCTCTAGTTTTCTCAGTTGTAAAATGGATTCCCTTTTGGGGTGTTTTTCTCACTTCCTTCATTCCAATTCAAAAACCTAATTTTATTGTATCTCACCTATGAGGTAAGGTATTGGGAGGCAATGGAGAGGGGGGAGGAAAAGAAAGGACAAAAATGACTCTGCTGAGTGGTTGGATGTTTCTAGGGTTGTAGGTTGGGAGTGTGTGTTCTGGAAGGCTCAGAAAGGCAAATGAGCCCAGCCAGGGAACACAATGACTTTTAGCATAGGCTTTACAACCAGACCAGTCACCTTGTTACTCCAAAATCATGCACAAAGTGTTTAACATCTTTGCACTTAAAAGTTGAAGTTAACTCGGATTCCTGTTGGTACTACAAGAGGGTGCCAGGAGGTGCCAGCACTGTGCCTCCAGCTCTTTACTGGGGATCTGAAACACAAACATGCTATCCATGAGAGCTAAGAATGAAGGTATTTGCTTCTCTGAGGATCTGGGTCATTGATTTTTAGCCCCCTCCTATTCCAGTGCACAACTTAGTTGAGCCTCTCTGAGAAGCTGCTGGAGAGCATCACGGCAGCATGCCCATCCTCAGCCCCACATCCAGACAGCATCTATGTCTACAGAATGTGGGTGGCTGATACACTCCCTAGAGCATCATCACTCCAAATCCCAAATATGACATTTCCATAACAAAGCTTGAATTTTTCTTCCTTGCCTTTTAGTTTGGGGGTCTTCCAAGCAGTGCTGGGGGCAGGGAGTAAAGGAAGGACCCCCAGTTGCTACTCAACACCACTCAGCTACAATGGTTCCATGCTTAGGCCTGGCAATGCCGGTGTTGCTCAGGGCAGCAGTGCTGGGCACAGAGCTTGAATTCTTGAGTCACTGCTAACAAAACTTTTTGAGTAACCAAGAGGATTTCATTTCTTCAATTCTTTTGACTTATACTTGCTCACAAGGACCCCCAACTATTTTTTTCAAAGTTGGCAAATTGACAGGAGCCTCTTTGTCCTTTACTCTTCATTTGTTCTCTAAGTAATGCTGAAGACAAACATTTACAGTTGAGGTTGCAGAACTGGAGGACTGAGATCACAGACCTCTTACACATCAGGTTGCGATGGGTTTTCTCCACAGATTTTGCTCCTTGAGTTTGATTAGATCAATGGAAACATCTTTTCATTCTGCTTTTCTGTGTTGGGTCCCAAGCAGGAAATCTTTGAACTGCTAGTTCAGGCCTCTTTGTGGGTACCTAATATGCTGCAAAAGAACAAGGTAGTTCTGATAGTATGTGATTATCAGCAGAGAAGAAATTATGCTTTAGGCTAAGTATTCTATGGCCAGACAGGCAACTCAGCGGACAGGAGCATAAGCAACAGGACTCAAGTTCCAACACTGACACCAAGTGGTTTCCCAAGTGCATGGGGGATGTCAGAGGAGGCGCCAAATACTCTCCTCGTAGCCCCAGCACCATGAGGTGCAAATAAGCAGTCACATCATAAGATACTGTCTGGTACCACAGGGCCCAAGCAGCTCGACCTTCTCTGGCCCTATCTTGGAATTGTTGCAATATCCCAGGACTGATCCTTGAGTTCCTAAGCACTGCACTGCTCTGGAACCCTGCCTCCAAAACAACAACAGCAACAACAAAAACATACAAACAAACAAACAAAAATGTAATCCTTTGGTGGATCTTAATTAGCTTATTGTGGATTTTATGTTTAAATTTTTTTTAAATTACGGTAAAAGGTGAAAGACAAGTTATAATTTTATGCCATGCCATTTTAAAAAAATTAGTATTTATCTCAGTCTACCTCTTCCACTATGAGTCGACAACTCATTTTGCCATCTATAATGTGAAACCTGAAATACCACTATGTCTGGGAAGGTGAGGTCAAGAAAAATCATGCTAGTCAAAGACTTTCAAAATCATTCTATTATGTTCTTTTATGTAGGTTGTGGGGTTGATTTAGCATTTATTCACTCTGAGAGGTAAGGAGTATGTGAATACAAAATTTGTTTCCTAAAAAAGCTGTTAAGATAAAGGAACAAAAATAATGCAACAGCACATAGCAAACATTAGCAATGTTCTAGTATTTTCCTTTCCGATTAAAATATAATCTTTACATTTTAAATTCTACCCCCTCTCTTTGAAAACAACATCGCATTGTTTTTGCTACAATTCAGTTCTTTTCTTGAAATTATCTCCTGACATAATTTGTGCTCCTTGTTTTTGTTGTTTTGCATATGTTAGTCTTGGGCATGTAAATTGCTC